ATATTATTCTTTATAGTCAGTTTTCGGACTTGTTAGACCCGTCCACAAAGTTCTAATGTTTCAACTAACTTGTTATATCGGCCTAGTACCGACGTCGAACCTCATGTGATATACGGTGGGTTAAAATCACCTCCAATGATTTTAGACGCATGCGGTTGGTGCGAAGCAATAAAGAATGCATTCGTTAATAATCTATCAAAGTTATTATCCACATGAGGTGGACTGTATATGCATCCCACCAGTAGATAATTTTGCAATCCTAAATTTACGGCAACCCAAGTGGAGTCATCTATAGCATCAAGAGGTGCATTCTCAAATTTACACGGCTGGATGTCCGAACGGACATAGATAATTGTACCGCCTCTTATCCCATGACGTCTATCGGTTCGAAAGAAAATGTAGTTATCTACATGCAAGGAGTGGTCAGACATGGATGATTTACACTACGTTTCCGTAATAAATATAATAGTTGGATTTACAGGAAATAAGAGGGTCCTAAATGGGTGGTTTTATTGGATAGAGAGCGGGCGTTGAACGAAAGGATAAGAAACTTGGAAGTATCATAATGAAGTAGGTTAGAGCATAGATCACAATTTGTAGTCCCATGGATATTACGGTAAGAATTGAGTTGGGAAGGGATGTAGATTCATCAACTTCGTCATCATTTGTAATATATTCACTGTTGCTGGAAGAAAAACCGGCGGAGCTACAAAAAGTCTTCCGATTGTTATTGACCATCACATCTGATCGGGATATAGTATACGTATTGGGAGCCGGACCAAGAAGGCTATCAGGTCTATGTGTGCGACCATCTGGCCATTTAGAATCTTGATTACTTTTTGTACCTGACGTATGTGTGACATGTTCCAGACGTTTATTTCCTAGGTTTGTGGTTTATTTTAGGTCCTTAGTAATTTAGGAAGGATAGAGTGTTGTTAAAACATACTTGCGGTTGTTCGCAAAGTTCGAATAAATCGACGTTCAGTGCGTGGTCAGTTATACAAATGTTATGACTATTTTCTCCATTACCCGTTACACAGTTACTGTAACTGAGTGTTGCACTGACAGTAATTTGGACAATGTTATCCGATTCGTCATCTGAAAAACTACTTAGAGTTAAATCCAAGCCAACATTCTTGGGGGGATGGACACCACCTACATCGGGGTTACTTTCTTCTGGGTTTTAAACCTTAAGGGGTTCAGGAGAGTTCATCATTTGTGGCATATTTTTAAAGTTAGATGTCCTATTAGAATTTGAATTAATTTTATAACCATAAGGATTAGGATACGTTTGACATTTTAACGCTGGTGGTCTACGACCAGCCCTTCCTGCTATTCTCTGGCACGGTGTTCTATCTGGTAGAATCTTAATATCCTTTAAAATCTGTTTCTGTCTTGTGGAATTGGAGGAAGTCGGAAACTCACCGGAGTCTACAGACGAGTTGAATTTGATCAGGATCTGTGAGTGCGTAGACAATGATGTGACTTCCACGTTATATGTTATAGATTAGACAGTTACATCGTTACAAATCTACAACTTTAGGATTAGGTCTATTATTAGAGCAATACTAATAACAAGCGTTACTGCCTCAAGGTATCTATGACCCATTACTACTGGATACGGAAGCCCGTTAAGCGAAAGCCTTGTCTACTCTGTTCACAACCATTTGAACATCATTAGTAGATTGGAAATTAGATCCAGAGTCATCAATCGAAACGGCTTGGGACGTATTCCGGAATTTATACTTAAAAGTTATCGCCCCCCACATCCCTTGGACTACACCTAAGAGACCGAGAAACTCCCCACCGTGGTTCAGTAGGGAGGTTCGCATCCTTCTCCGTAAAAGAAGGAAATTGTGGGACAGATTTAGGTTACTGGGGACTGACGAGGCGAAATCTCAGTATCAAAAGGCTCGAAATACCTGTGCCTCGACCCTCCGTAAGGCCAGAAAGCTGCACGAAGAGAAAATCGTAAGGGAATCCATAGAATGCCCTAAACGCTTGTATTCGTATATAAACTAAAGGACAAAAAGGAGAAGAAATGTTCCTTCATTATGGGGAGACAGTACTGCCACATCACTAGTGGAGGATGACTTTGGCAAAGCTCAAGTATTCTCTAAATACTTTAGCGATGTATACATCATAGAAACACCCTTCTCACCAGTCCATGAAAATCCACCCACACAAGCACTGGACAGCGTAACCATTGAAGAACTCGATGTTTTTGGTCTGCTAGTTAAGCTTGACATAGGTAAATCCACTGGACCCGATGAACTGCATCCTAGGTTACTAAAGGAATTAGCTAACTTTGTTGCGAACCCTTTAAGTGTATGTTTTAATCTATCCGCCATAGTAAGTCCAGTCTTCAAAACAGGTACAAAACATAAGCCTGAGAATTACCGACCAATTAGCCTAACTAGTGTGGTTGTTAAAATCTTAGAAAAGATTATTCGGAAGGAACTGTTAAAGTATCTCGATGAAAACCGGATCCTCTCCGAAAAGCAGCATGGTTTTAGAACAGGTTACTCTTGTCTCACAAACTTATTAGTCGCTCGTGAAAGCTGGTGCGCTCTTAAGGACCAAAAATTACCTATAGACGTAGCTTACATCGATTTCAGCAAAGCCTTCGACAAAGTTCCGCATAACCGGCTGTTATATAAGCTAAGGAATGTCGGGATTGGAGGCAATCTATTGATGTGGATAAAAGACTTCCTAGTTGGGCGTCAACAAAGAGTCAGGGTGAACTGCAAGTTGTCTAGCTGGGAAACTGTGCTTAGTGGAGTCCCCCAGGGTACAGTTTTGGGGCCAGTGTTATTCCTCCTGTACGTAAATGATCTCCCTCGTCTACTATCGTTATCGGTCTTACTCTATGCTGATGATGTCAAGATATGGAGAGCGATACAAAGCAAGAGCCATAGCTTAGAACTTCAAAATGACCTGGAGAGATTATCTGAATGGTCCCAAACCTGGCAATTGCCGATAAACACTTCCAAGTGTATTGTGATGCATATTGGCCATCAGGGTACAGATACATACACGATGAATAACACTGAGTTACCTATTGTTCAGGCACACAATGACTTAGGCGTCATCGTTAGTCAAGACTTAAAGACTACTGCACACTGCCGTGCAATAGCCGCCAAAGGTTTTAGGACTTTATGGTCCATACGCAGGGCTTTTAGGCATTTTGACGCTAAAACGTTTCTGACTTTGTATACAGTGTTCGTACGCCCTAAACTTGAGTACTGTATACAAGCAGCTAGCCCCTGCCTAAAAAAAGACAGTGAACTATTGGAAAGAGTTCAGAGAACAGCAACTAGGCTGATTCCCGGAATAGCGAAGCTCCCGTATGGTACTAGACTGACCAAGCTAAACCTATTCCCGCTGTCATATAGAAGAATCAGAGGTGACTTGATTATAGTTTTCAAATTGCTAAATGACAAATTTGCACCTGATATGCCCTCATTTTTCTTGTCTTCCAAAACAGAAAATCTACGAGGACACTCCAAAAAAGTTCACAAGCCCAGAACGAATTACTTGTCAGCTGACTACCGACTTTCCCATCGAATAATCAACGAGTGGAACTCATTACCTCAGCACGTGGTTGAGGCTCCATCCGTCGACTCCTTCAAAAGAAAGTTGGATCAGCTGAGAGACCATCATTGCCAGGACTAACACAGGCCACCAAGACTCCTGTCCTTTCCAAACTGAAACTGAAACTGAAACTATGTGATCTGAAGTTGAATGCGCGGGTGAGTTGGATATATACGTAACATCTGTTTTCCTGACCCGTAGTTGCATCTTGATGTTAGGATCCTTAATGCATTTTCGTCCTTGACAATATAAAATAAAACGGAAGACAGAAAAAACTCATTCTTCTCTTGAAAAAGTTTGGAAATATCCTTCACATTATTATTTGGTTGTGAAAAATAAATAATATATAAATCTCAAAGCACCTCTGGGTTTTAGCTAGGTGATTGTTTCATTTGTAAGTCACTTTTAATGAAAATTACGTAAAAGCGACTACTAATAAAGCCAATGAGCCTCTGTCTGACGAATGGAAAGCGGATTCTCGCTGAGCAGCGTAATAATAAGTTTGGCTCCATTTTGATGTCTAAAAATTTGTCTAGCGCAAAAGTCGTCCACAGAAGAAATTAAAATGCAACTAGTTTATTGCAGGATGAACGAAGGTTTATGAAAGTTTTCTGAGCCTTAATTTGGCTTGATGAGGTTTTAGTACTCGTAGTTTATTGATATGAGCCTCATTAGGAACCAGATGTGATAATCAGTGTGTCGCAATCATGAACTCAATGACCAGTTCTTAGCAAGCCGTTTTCCCGTAATTGTCTTGGCTTTCGTGGCTGTCTATAGTTCACGTGTGTTTAAGTTAAATAATGATGTCACCAGTCGTGTTGTATTTGCTAGCATAAGAATCCAAACTGACCGTGAATTCGGGATGTAATTTGCTTACCGTGGCTTATTTCGGAAAGTAGCGTCACCCTCTTTTGAATAGTAGATTTATATGATCTATTAAAATTTTTTTTAACGGATTTTGTAGGTGACAGTGCCAAGATTGGACTTGATAGTTTCAAATAAATGTTAGTCTGCTAAATAGGACCTAAGTTTCAGTCCTATGTCTTACCTTGTGAAACGTAGATTATTAAAGTAAAAGAAATCCATAGGTTAGAAGCATTCGACCACATGTTTTCAGGTGATTGCTGAACCACTGCGTAAACGTTTTTGGGGTTAAACTTAGGGTCCGTTGTTATGTATTTGTTTGATTTCCTATTACTATGTTGATGTTGTGTAGAAACAAGTTAATCTACATTAGTGTCAGTTCTTACGATGTCTATGGTTAGTGACATACTGATTCTGTGTACAAATCGACTAGATATCTCGTGATATTCAATGATTCGTGCTTTTCGCTGTCTTGATTTTCCTCTAGACACCTGCTTAATTTACGCTCTTGTGAAGACGGTGAACTACCTTTATTCCTCAAGATGCTTTGTGAACTATGTAGAGTTGAGTTTTCATCGTCGAATAAAAAGGTATTCAAAGATTAATTCAAATAGTCAGCAGAAATCCTGTAAAATATGTGGCTCAGTACAATGTTCGAGATGTTTGAAGTTTAAACTTGAAAAATTCAAGCCAGTATGTTTGGATTGTTATTATGATAATAAAGGGTAATTTGTTTGCTGTTTTTTTAAAAATAAGCTATTAGTTTGAATGAATCTGAAGAACAACTTTGTTCATTCGCTTCTTCAAGGTATTCCGGCTTTCGGTTAATGTACCAGTCGTGCATTTCTTGTAGCATCAAAATTAAAACCTAATAAAACTTGTCATGAAATTCGCTCACGCAATGGTATGAAAATTTCTTAAGACATTTTTATTTTAGGTATAAACTTTTTCAGATCCGAAGACTGATGAGCTTATTAAGAGGTTTGAGAACCTTAAGAAGAATCAAGTCAAAGGTAAAAGCTAGGTCTTTCAGCATTTTGGTTGTAGTAGAAGATGTCTCTCTTTTAGAATATCGATTCCGACAGCTCAAAGGACTGGCTGAAGAAAAACCTGCTTCTTCTGAAAACTCTTCATTACCAAAGGCCGATCAAGTTTCTAAAATTGTGGAACAGGTTAGTCATACCTCCAATAGTGCATTCAGTTACAGTTGATCTTGATATTTCCCGATTTAATCTGAGTTCTTAACTAATGATGGACAATGTATCGTTTATAAGTTGTGTGGTTATGTTGTAGTACTTGGTTTGTATTGAGTTCAAACCGGGAAAAAATATGTTCTAAAGGCCTTGTGTCGTGTATTTGTCAATCATATTAATCATTAGGAAGTTTTGTGTGCTTGAAAACTATCACAATACTATATACTAAATAATAATTAAGTAATTAAAAAATATATCGAATACTGTAAGTCATGGATTTATAAAATTCATACTAATGTATCTCATCAACTAAACATGTTAAGTCCCATACAAAAGAATTAGTAGAAACAAACAAATAAGCTGTTAGAGAAACATATTTTTTATAAAAATTAGAGAAACTATACTAAACTACTGTAAATTTTGTAGATATTTGCTTAGAAAAAAAGGGGTCATTCAGTGGGTTTTTAGTGCATAAATTGTGTTTCTTGGTCGAAATAATAGAAACCCATGAATCGATTACCTATCTAATATTTCTGAAAGGAATTTCCTGATCATATGTCATTGCTCTTTGGAACATGTTAAGTGATAATAATTCAGTATATGTCAGTCAGTCAGCTACAACGTAGGACCAGGCACAAATATGCATCGGTCGAATTTGCCACACCTAATTAGCACAACAAGATGAACACCTAATTCATAGTAGTTAATTTAATGGTGGTAATATATATATATATATATATATATATATATATATATATATATATATATATACGCCATTGTGATCGATTCTAAGCCATGTCACCCAGAGTCTCCAACCATTGGTTACGATAGTCACGCGGATCCCAACCATGTGCCCCCGACATGCCCTGGTACGGCCGAGAGTGGGGAGAGTCCGCTCTCCTTCTCCAAATGATCTCACATGGACACGCGTATATAGCCTCTTCCAGGAAAGTCCTACTCACTGCCTTCTCACACCAGGGGTGTTGTTTACCAAATTGAGAGTACGAAAAGCGAATGTCCGGCGCTTCAACCGGGTTGGTGAATGTGGAGGATCCACCTAGGGGAGTTGGAAAACCCTGATTCCAAACCAATGGTGCACATTGACTCCAGTATCCTGAGGGAACAAATGGTGCATGAATCAATCGTTGGTTACCGGCTACCGTGGGACTGCATCTCCTCACGATGCTCCACTGCCTTGTGGATCAGACCTTTAGGTGAAAGGCTCGGGGTGTGGCCCCCTAAGAAAACCACCTGCTTCAGTTTGGGCACCTGATCAGTATCACAGCTCACACAAATCAAATGAGATTTGTGTGGCGCATATGTATCTGGTGCTTTTTTGTACCAATATTTAGGTGTTTAAATAAAGTAATTAATAACCATGTAGTCTGCATCTACCAACATGGTTAAGACTAGAGGTTAGTGGCTTCAAGCTCTGATGCCACGTTTTAGTTTGGCCGCCCCTAACTCTCTTCCAACTATCCCCAACACTAATCGGCATATCGCGTCGTGGTCATCGGTGTTCAGGCATACGTAACACATGGCCCGATCATCTGAGTTGATGAAGATTGACAACCTCATCAAATGATTTGCCACCATTACCTAATACTCTGCGTCGAACCTCACTATTACTTAGCCGGTGATCCCAGCAGATACGAGCAATATTTCTAAGACATCTGTGGTCAACTAGTAGTAGCTTACGAGTATCTTCTACTCTTAATGGCCATGTTTCACAGCAGCAAAGTAGAACAGAGCGAACTGCTGCATAGTATATTCGTCCCTTAATTGATAGACGGACATCTCGTCTTCGCCATAGGAGACGCAAGTTGGCAAAAACCAAACGGGCTTTCTGAATCCGTGCTGAGATTTCGTCAGACACCAACCCATTAGGGCTGATCAGACTTCTAAGACAAGTGAAGTTGTTGACACGTTCGACTACTTCACTCCCTATCCTTAGTTCAGGAGTTGATACAGACCAGTCCTGAAGCAATAATCTGCATTAAGGAGGGTGGGAGAAACGCATCCCAAACATCCAGGCACTGTTGTTCTGTGCTACCAAAAGCACTCTGTATTTTATCAGCGTCCTCACCAAATAGGACTATGTCATCTGCATATTCTAAGTTGATCAGTGGACCTCCCGGAAGGAGATCAGTTCCTAAAAATTCAGTCGACGAGAGTGTTATTTCCAGCAGTAGGTCTATGATGAAGTTAAACAAAAATGGGCGTAATGGACAGCCTTGTCGGTCACCACATGAGGTTGTAAAATCATATGACAGTTCGCCATAAACTCTGACTCGACTAGTAATGTTCGAGTAAAGAGCCTTCACAAGGATTATGTACTTCTGAGGTACACCTTTCAATGACAGACACTGCCGCAGAGCCTCTCGGTCTACCGAGTCAAATGCTGCTTTTAAGTCGAGAAAAACAATCATTGTCGGACGCCGATAAGCATGTCTGTGTTCTAAAACCGGACGAATAGTGAATATGTGGTCGATGCAGCCACGACCAGGTTTGATGCCAGCCTGATTTTCTCGTGTTTGCAGTTCACGGGTCTTAGTTGGGAGCCCGATAATTATCGAGGCAAGTATTTTAGATGCTGTATTAGTCAAACTAATCCCTCTATGGTTATCATAGGATGATTTCAACCCCTTCTTATATATTGGGACAATCAGTGATTGTGACCAGTCAGATGGGATTACGTCCAACTCCCAGATTTTAGCTGAAATATTAGTCAACCTAATCGCTAAAATCGGACCACCATATTTAAAGACCTCTGGAGCTAATCCATCTGGACCAGCTGCCCTTTCTCGTTTCAGATTAGCTATATCCTTTTGAACTGCAGCTAGAGTCGGGGGACCTACTTCAATGTTCCATTCAAACTGTCTGGAAATGGTGGGTAACTGTAGAGTAGCTGAAGGCCAGCTAAGTTGTTCTCTAAAGTGTTCCGCCCATCGTTCTAAACGTCTGGGCTGAGATCAGATAAGAGTGTTGTCTCTTCCCGAGGTCGTCTAATTTACACTTGACTTCTTAATTCCGGTTCCTTTCATTAGTCTGAAGAGTTATCTTGTGTTGCCTACAGCCGCTACCTTTTCCATTTCTTTTGCTTTCGTTGCCCACCACTGCTCACTATCATTTCTTAGACTTTTGGTTAACCTAGATCTGATTTGCTTCCGCTCTTCATCGTGTTCAGAGCCTGATGGGACGAGTTTACGAGAATCCATCAGTGCAATAGACTTAGAAGAAATCCATTGGTTTTTTGGAACCTCTTGGCTCAAGTTACTAATAAATGTTACTTCTGTTTCCACAGCTTTTCATATATCTTTCCAAGCAACATCTGGGTCAGCCACGTTTTCAGAACTACCTAGATGTGACTTGAGTTGTTCCTTGAACTTACTTTTGGTTTTCTCGTCCCCCAGTTCAATTCTAATGGGTCTTCTTAGTGTAGTTTTTCTGCGTGAGGCGCAGACAAATGCGTGCTCGTATTAAAGCATGATCAGAGTGTGTAGTGCTTCACAAGACGTTAAAATATACTTTTGTTCAATAAAATGTCAAGTATGGCTTAGTATCTACACAGTTTCATTGTCTTACATCTGAATCGCATACTGTAACATTTAATAAATAATACTGGATTATTTAAAAAGACATCTTCCTGAATAGTTTTCTGAGTTTTATGTAATATAACTTGCTAGAACATTGAATACCGACCGCATTGCTCTAATCGAATTCCTTATTTTAAACATATGTTATTAATTTGATCTCCAGTCCAACTAGTGAATTCGATCAATCAAAGGACGAGTTTGCTTCACAGCAGTTTTTTCTATTGTACTTTATGATCATTAAAAGCAGAGGACATTTGTAGATTACTAAGGTTCGTTTATTGTTGTTTTCAACGCAGTGCTCGCGTATTATGAGAATATTGATTGAGTGATTCTGAAACTAAGTGTAGAGTATTAAGTAAAAATGGTGTGTCGGTCGATAATATTGTAAATCCTCATCGACTGACATTATCGGGACATACGTTTTGTATGCCCAACTTCTTACATTGACACTCGATGTTGGCTAGAATAGGAGTAAGAAAGCTAAGGGCTGTCAAAATATGGCATCAGTCCATAAAGTCGTTGACTTTTGGTCTAAGCCATGTTGGCAAGTGTAAACTTCCCAGTTGTCATCGACGCTATTATTTTGACCAGTGGCCATGATATTTATCTTAATAATATCATCTCTACGCTGAAGTGTGGCGACAATTTGGGCTGGTGCATATATGTACCAGGTTGTACGTTGTTTGTAACTGGTTGAACTCAGCTAAAGATGAATTTGGTTAGAAGTGTATAGTAGATTATCTTATAAATCATTCTGATTAGTTTTCTCATTAAGGTGTACTGCCTTATCGTTTATATTACACTTTGCATTTTTAGTACATGGAAGAAGCACAGATTGATGCAAAATGTGGTGTTGATTTTGGTCTGGACGATGATCCCACTGTAATGGAAAATTCTCCTTCGTGCTATATGTGTGAAGGAGTTGCTGAGTTGTCGTGCAGAGAATGCGACGATAATTTTTGCAAACGGTGTTTCAAGTAGGTTGTATACATATTAACCATGATTATTGGTCATAAACATAATTAAACAGACCAACAATCATATTTTAAAGAGAGGAGGAACAAAGCTTTTAGTAGAATAGTATGAACTCATTTTATTTTGTTTGGTTCTCGTCAGCTGCTTACAACCTGCGATGTTTCAAAATCACAATAATAAAATCTTTTGGAAATACTCATTGTCTGTAATAGTAAACAGCATGCAATCCGCCTGTTAGGCCTCTCCAATAATGCTCATCTCGACATAAAATTTACTATGGAACACAAACAGGATGACATGTTCCACCTTCTTGACACTGTCATACAACTGCGGGAAGGCGGGACGGTCCAATTTTCAGTTTATCGGAAAAGTACTTGGAATGGTCTTTACCCGAATTTCAATAGTTTTTGTCTAGTCGGTCACAAGAAAGTGTTGATCAGAAACTATTTTATGGGGTAGAAAGGATATGTACCACCGGCAAACCGGAAAAAGAATTGATGATCGTTGAAAAAGTGACCAGGGGACGACTGTTACCTACAGAAATTTATTAAGGAATGTAAAAAACCTAAAGAAAATAAGACGGGTGTGAATGCAGTCAATAAAAACCTAATATCTATAAATTTCAACTTTAAAAGTGATGACGTCTCAAGCACAATCAACAGGAGGCTTAACACTGCATTAGCCAGAACTTACTCGGCAGCCAAACTATAAATTCTGTATAAAACAACATGTCCAGTAACCCAATCAAAGGTCGACAAGCACCCCTTTTCACGTTACCGCCAACTATATTTATAAATTCACGTGTTCCCGCCAAAGCAGCTACATTGGACAAACAGAAAAGTGGGCGTATCTTAGAATTTTTAAACACGTTCCAAAAAGCCTTAAAACGTAAAATTAACTCATACTATTATGATTAATATAATATAGTGTGATGATAATTGGCAACTGATTAACTAAATAATCAAGAATACACTGTATGAATGGCGGTAGTTTTACTTAACTCAAACCTTAACAATCTGATCCAAGTCTATAAAGATTGCTGTTAGTTGTTGACCAAATAAAACACTTTCTTAGTCATTTTGAATCAACTTGAAACATTATATAGCAATTATATGAAGTAGTAGCATCTAAGTAATAAGTCATACTTTTGAACCTTGCTCTTCACATATGTCAATTTGGGTTGAGCACATGAGCTCTATTAGTAATGTTATATTATCTCAACTGATTGATTTAATATGCGATGTTTTCATTGTCGTTCTAGAAACCATCATTAATACCTAATTCATTTAAAAGCTTTAAAACTAAATCATCTAACTCAGAAAGTGAAACACTATCGAAAGTTTTCATTTGAGCCATAAATCTGCGATATTATTTCATCGTAAATTATATTAGACTATTATTAACATACAATCGCTTACTAATTACAAATTTGTGTACTTGGTTTTAAGTCACTGATCAAGTATTAGGGCTAGTTGTAAAACCAGATTGCCGAGATCGAATTGGACGAAGTGGTATTCGAACGTACGACTTAGTAGCTAAAAGTCGTTGAACATCTTAACCATGTAGCCACGGCTTTATGAACTACAATAAAATCATAACTTTCATTACTAGAAATAACTCCTGTTCTCTCTATTCTCTTTTCTTCTGATTTTTTAGTAAGACGCACAATAAACGAGAGAGATTCGAACATCAAACTGGAATTTGCAAATAAACTCTAATACAATTGTTCGTCATTGTTTTCTTTTAAGATAAAATACATTATTATTATTATTATTATTATTATTATTATTATCCATTACTTCCCGTCATGTAGATACTTGATTTGACTTCAGACTCTGTTACTTGTCTTTCTTCTGCTCTCCGCTTACTGTTGTTGACTTTTGTACATTTGTATTTATTTCTAATAATTAATTTCTAATAATAAAGCCATTAATAATAATAATAATAATAGTAATAATAATAATAATTGATATACTTTTTGGCCTATTTTGCGTTTACCATGTAGTGAGTTTTCCATGCATACTGTTGTGATTCTTATGGTGCCTATACTGATTGTAGATTTAGTGTTAATCAATGGATAGAGTTATATACTTATTTTTGTATTAGACTTGTGATTGTATATCATCAAGAGGTTTTGTACCTTATTCATTGAAGATAATGATGTAATCAATTTGCCAAGTACTGATTCGTATACTCGGCTTTGATTCACGCTTTATATGTGTTAAGACTAGTGATAATTCCTGGCTGATTAAGCCAAATTAAATGGGATGAGCGTTGAGCCTACAAGCTAGTCGAAGACCTTAATCACTAAGCCACTGTTTCACTAAAACTAAATCTCAACCAATATCTATTTATGCTTGTTTAAGTATTTGCGGGTCAAATTTACATAGAAACGTTGGGTTAGTGATTAAGGCATTCAGATTAAAGTCCGTAGCTCTCATATTCGAACTCTGTTACACCTACTAACCCTCATAACAATTGCGATTAGAAACTAGGTATGTAGACCTCCGAGAAATAAGCTAGTAATGATAAGTTAGATTATAACCATAATATTTGAGAGACTTTTATTATGGTTATATCTGTTGAATTCTCAACCGTTGTCAATAACAGTGATTCCCACAACACATCCACATTGTATGGGATGGGGATTAGTCCATTTAAATCCTTTAAACCATCAACTTCCCAATCAGGAAACAAGAAAAGTCACTGGATGTACCTTCCATTGTTCAGACTTGAAACTTATATTACTGTAACCATTGATCACTAGGTGCTGTTGTTCTGAAGAACAATGAGAGTCCCACGTTTAAACCACACAACCCAAGGAATGAAACTCTATTAGGATCGTTGACTTGAGCTATAAATTTCTATCTCCATCAAACTCCGCCTGTAGCTGTCGGTCCAAAGCCCCAGTAAAGGAGGAGTGTTGGGCATGGGGTCGGCAACCCCAATCCGCAGAAAAAAATCTTGCTCAAAAAATGCCAACCAGATTGAACAAACTCATTGGACCCAAGCTGGACAGCAAAAGTTAGGTACGGGAAAGATGCTTCTGGACTCCGGTCACGAAGAGGAGAATGCTCCACATACTCAGGGAATCGCTCTAAAGTTGTCCAAAGTAGTACGTGATGCACTTGCAGGATGGGAATCTCACGGATCCAGAATCACCTAGCATTAAAATGAGGGAGGAAATCACGGTAAACGTTATCCAATGTTAAGTACCCACCAATGATAGCGACGACAACAATAAAGATCAATTTTATTCAAGGCTGTAATCGATCATAGCAAAGTGCCCAAGAAAGGATCTCATAATCCTGATGAAAGGCCTAAACGCCAAAATCGGGATGGACAACGCCGGATATGAAAACATCATGGGACTACATGGAGAAAGGAATGAGAATGGTAACAGACTTGCAAATTTATGTGCATTCAACGATTGGTTATAGGCGGCACAATATTCCCACACAAACGCTTGCATAAAGCTACATGGATCTCGCTGGATCACACTATGCAGAACCAGAAAGATCATATTTGTATCAACAAAAAATTCAGAAAGACAATGGAAGACGTGAGAACCAGGAGAGGAGCTGACATAGCTTCAGATCGTCACCAAGTGGTGGTTGTCAAGATGAAACTGAAGCCAAAGAAACACTGGACAACTGGGGGAACAGCATGACAAATGTCCAATACAACCTTCCTTCGAGATACTAACAAATTCAAGAGAACTCTCAACAACCAGTTCCAAGGTTTACAGGATCTACTGGAAGTAGAAGAAACTATGATGGAGGACAACTGGAAATGGATCAAGGTACCAAAGAAAGGAGATCTGAGCAAATGTGATAACTACATAGGCATCAAACCGCCTCGCGAGATCCGAACCCAGGACCTACCAGTCTCGCGCCAGAGCACTGGTGAGGAGTCCCACAATAGGACGAAACGACTGTCCAGTGCTTACAAGTTTTCCTTGGTGGTCTAGCTTCAACTGACTCATGCTTTCAACTATGAAAATACTAAATCTCCACAAAACCCATTCTGATTGTATCATTTGTTATTATGATTATTTTTGCCAGTTTATTTCTCTTCTTTACACATACATTGTTTTATTCATGTACTATCTATTATTTGTAAACATGTCAGAGAACGCTACGTTAAGTTTTTCTCAAACGCAGCCCGTGAGGTCCCTTAGTCTTTTTATCCCGCCTTTTAGGGTTAGCGACCCATAATTACTCAACATGACGATGGACGACAGGATCAATACGCTGCAGAGAGAGATATGTATTTTATGCCACATGTTGACAAAGTCGACTCAGAATGACAGATCACAAATATGGTCACAAAACACGCTGCGCACTAGAAGGCGATCGTCCTTGAAGAGACGCTTAACTCCTTCGATATGCTGGTGTCATCAAACATATGGCAACATGACTAGAAAGTGTAGACTACCTTGTAGATTTAAAGTAACACAACCTGGAAACGATCCAGCGGGATGTCGGTGACAACTACGTCAGCTGGCGTGACTCCTAGAGACAGTCGTTTGTTTTACATACACGACCAGACGACAGGGGGACAACTCTTAGTAGATACAAGTGCAGAAATTAGCGTCGTGCCTAAAACATTGAAAGATAAAGAGTCTTCGATTCTATTTCTGACAAGGGTATGATTTTGTACCCTTGATAAGTTACATAATAAAATTGGATATGAGAGCGAAGTAACCACCTCCAATACCTCTAAATGCCCTCGTACGGCCGAGAGTGGGGAGAGTCCGCTCTCCCTCTCGAAATGCCCTCACATGGCCACGCGTATATAGCCTCTGCCAGGAAAGTCCTACTCACTGCCTTCTCGTGGCAGGGGTGTTGTTTACGAAAGTGAGAGGACGGAAAGCGAATGTTCAGGTTGGTGGACACGGCGCGTCCACCTAGAGTTGGAAAACCCTTATTCCAAACCAATGGTGCACATGGGTTCCAGTATCCTGAGGGAACAAATTATGTATGAATCAATCGTTGTTTACCGGCTACTATGAGGCTGCATCTCATTACGATGCTCCACTACCTTGTGGATCAGACCTCAAGGTCAAAGACTCGGGGTATGGCCTCCTAAGAAAACTATCTGCTTCAGTTTGGGCACCTGGGCAGTATCGTAGCCCTCACACAAATCTCATTTGATTTGTGTGGCGCATATTTATCTGGTGCTTTTTTGTACCAATGTTTATATGTTTAAATAAACAAATAAATAATGAAATAAAACGATAATCAAATATTTCTTGGTTTCCAACAGTTGTCTAGTTTATAGTCAGTTTGTAATGTAAACTAAAAATAACTTACACATGGCCTATTATAATTGTCTTACATATAATTTATTTTTTTTTCATATATGGATGGATAATGCTGGTGAGCGGCCTAAACTTCTCGACGAGGGGTAACAGGCGTAAGTAAGTAAGTAATATATGAAGCTTTAAGACAAGAATGATCAATTACACATCCAGATACTAATGAAGAATGCTGAATGTATCCTGAACAAATTATATTGATCACACTGGAAGTTGTACTAATTTTCATAACATGTAATCACGCTCAAAGAACGCCATACGTAGCAAAGTCAAAGTTTATCAATCAGATAAGTAATATATATATTAATTGGTTTCAACAACAAATGATCAAAGGTTGAACAGATTACTCTTCGTCCTAATGTCTCCTGTATAAAACAAGAGAACATTGAATAATAAATTATACATGTTATATTAATCGCTATATTAAATATAAAAACTAAACAGTATAAATTAAATAGTCGATTGATATGTTTTGCAAGAGTTTACACATCTATTGTATTGGCAAACAAAATGTTCATCATTCACATTCTATCATGTAAGATTATTTGAATAGTTTTCTGTCTATTCAATCCGAGTCGAGTAGAGACAAGTATCTACTTTAGACAATGAATGAATAGTTGCGCAAGATCATGAATTGATTGAGGTTGAACATTAACACCGTTGGATAGCTACCAGTTCAGTGGTCTAGAGGTTAAGCGTTCTCACGTGAGGCCAAAGGTTCTGGGTTCGAGTCCCTCTGGTGTAGGATCATGGATATGCATTGTTGAGGAGTCTCATACTAGGACGAAACAGCCATCCAATGTTTCTAGGTTTGCAATGGTGGTCTAGCTTAAATTAGCTCGTGAATTCAACTATTAAAATTACTATAATCTCTACAATCCCTCCATTCTAATTTTAAATCAACAGATCTAATAATATTGGATTCAATGCTACAGGTGAGTGTTTTGTTAAAAATCGCATTCTGTCCATTTTTGTATTCAATATTGGACTACGTAATCATTTTAATTGTATCATTTAATCAACTTCAATTTTGTTATATTAACACAGTTTACGTAAAGTCAGTACTAATTATCTAGATTGTAGTTGTATTTAATAACTTTAAGATTTTGTTGTTGTGCTGTGTTTCTCCACTTACAGAATCTTTATCGACTAAGGTAGTTGTGACATGTACTACATATTCATCAACCAACTTCTATCTCAACATCTTATGTTGGTTGGAGTGAGAACAGATCTAAAGAAAGCTGTGGAAGACGCTACTAAACCTAGACAAAACATCAATCTATGGAGTTATTGTTGATCTTAATCATGTTCGCGAATAAAGATCACTTGACTAGAGTCTGAGTGATAAGTACTATCAGTGGATGGAGACTTAATAGGATATAGCTCAGAATTAGTTACACTGATGCAGACGCATTCATTCTTTATCTTAACCTAGGCTTTGAATACCAATATTTCTTCACTCATACTTCTTCAATTGTTCTCCTAAAGCCATATTCTTTCTTTTTAGTCTTCCTCTCTATCATTGCTCGGTACAATTATTTCGACTCCTTCACTATTCATTTTGTCAATTTCATCTCATGTTAACGAAGTATATCCAAATGGGCTGACTTGTACTTACTTACTTATGTCTGTTACCCCTCGTTGAGGAGTATAGGCTACCCACAAGTATTCTCCATTCAACCCTGTCCTGGGCAATCCTTTCCAGTTGCTATTCATCCTTTTCATATCTGCTTTAATCTCCCGGCGTAATGTGTTCTTTGACCTTCCTCTTTTTCGCTTCCCTTCAGGATTCCAAGTTAGGGCTTGCCTCGTGATACATTTTGGTGATTTCCTTAATGTATGTCCGGAGCTGACTTGTATTTTTGACATAATCTATGTTGATTATCACCAACTAACTTACAAACAGATATACTATTTTACTAAACAGCAATTATGTCAAGATGAGTAATCATACTCTATAAATGAGTATTAGTTAATGTTTAAAGATGGTTAATTGTCTTTCCAATAAAGTTTATCATTATATATAACGTAAGAGTATAATTACTTACTTACGCCTGTTACTCCCAATGGAGCATAGGCCTCCGATCAGCATTCTCTAACCCACTCTGTCCTATCCTTTCCTTTCTAGTTCCATCCAGTTGTTATTCATTCTTCTCATGTCTATCTCCATTTCTGAATGTAATGTGTTCCTTGATCTTCCTCTTCTCCTTTGACCTTCATGATTCCATGTGAGGGCTTGTCTTGTGAAGCTCTTAAAAAATACATCATCTTTATAAAGTATATAACAAGTGTTTGGAAATGTTTACATTAGAAATTAGTCGATATTAAAATCTAAATAATATGACATGAATTATTAATCAGTAATTATTTAATATAATTACTCCGGTATGAAAATAAATTTGTTATGATCTGAACAATTCAATGTTAATATCCTTAAGTATGATATTGATATGATGTAAGTTTATGTTCTTTAAAGAGATTGTAGACAATTTATATTGTTTATTTCAATAGTTGAGATCATGAGTCATTTGAAACTAGAGTGCGATGGAAAACCTGGAAGCACTGAATAGTCGTTTCGTCCTATTGTGTTGTTTAATTGCAGTATTTTCCGAAATGTTAAAGCTCTTTACTCGAACACTACCAGTCGAGTAAGAGCTGATGGCAAACCGTCATCTGATTTTAAAACTTCATGTGGTGTCCGACAAGGCTGTCCATTATACCCATTTTTGTTTAACTTCATCATAGATCTACTGCTGGAAATAACACTCTCGTCGACTGAATTTTCAGGAACTGATCTCCTTCCGGGAGGTCCACTGATCGACTTAGAATACGCAGATGACATAGTTCTATTTGGTGAGGACGCTGATAAAATACAGAGTGTTTGTGGTAGCACAGAACAACAGTGCCTGGATGTTTGGGATGCGTTTCTCCCACCCTCCTTAATGCAGATTATTGCTTCAGGACTGGTCTGTATCAACTCCTGAACTAAGGATAGGGAGTGAAGTAGTCGAAAGCGTCAACAACTTCACTTGTCTTAGAAGTCTGATCAGCCCTAATGGATTGGTGTCTGACGAAATCTCAGCACGGATTCAAAAATCTCGTTTGGCTTTTGCCAGCTTACGTCACCTATGGCAAAGGCGAGATGTCCGTCTATCAATTAAGGGACGAATATACTATGCAGCAGTTCGCTCCGTTCTACTTTGCTGCTGTGAAACATGGCCATTAAGAGTAGAAGATACTCGTAAGCTACTACTAGTTGACCACAGATGTCTTAGAAATATTGCTCGTATCTGCTGGGATCACCGGCTAAGTAATAGTGAGGTTCGACGCAGAGTATTAGGTAATGGTGGTAAATCATTTGATGAGGTTGTCAATCTTCATCAACTGAGATGGTTGGGCCATGTGTTACGTATGCCTGAACACCGATGACCACGACGCGATATGCCGACTAGTGTTGGGGATAGTTGGAAGAGAGTTGGGGGCGGCCAAACTAAAACGTGGCATCAGAGCTTGAAGCCACTAACCTCTAGTCTTAACCATGTTGGTAGATGCAGACTACCTGGTTGGGGTCCGCGTGACTATCGTAACCAATGGTTGGAGACTCTGTATGACATGGCTCAGAATCGATCACAATGGCGTATGTGTGTACACTCTTTATCTTCTCTTAAACCTTGAGATTGAAATTGCTACATATCTATCTTTCTTTCTGTACTATATCCTTATATACAACCTTTCTTTTATATCTTACCACCATTAAATTAACTACTATGAATTTGATGTTCATCTTGTTGCTCTAACGAGGTATGGCAACTTGAACTGATGCATAAATGTGCCTGGTCCTACGTTGTAGCTGGGTGACTAACTTTTCCAAAATGTAATCATTGAACATAAAGAAAAATTATCTTCACTTAAAATATTCGTTTAATTTCTTAATGAAGATATTGATTGTAATTTAGATCACTTTATCTGATTTTTTAGATTGATTCAACTAGAGAAAATATAAGTAAGTTAGTCTTCTATGGCCTTATTAATATTATATTTATTATAATGAGTTTGTAGAAAAATAATTTGGCTAAAGAACACTATATTACTTTTACTTAATTTTTGATAGATACTACTTATATAATGATAAGATATAGTAACTGTTCATCTTAGCTAATCTAAAGACAACATGGATATATAAACGTAGAATAGTACCTCTTTTGTATTGATTTCACATCAAGTTCTCTAGTTGAATTGTCTCAATATGATGATTCAATAAAGAAGGCAATGTGTTAGTCGACATTAAAGATTGTTAATTAATTAAAATTGTCAAGATCGAAATGAAATCAGTAATCACGATAAATGTAAATACGCACTACTGAGGAGTCTCACAATAGAACGAAACGACTTTTCAGTGCTTCCAAGTTTTCCATGGTGGTCTACTTTCAATTAACTGATGATCTCAACTACAAAAAAATACTGTAATACCCACAAAACCCCCCTGAAAATGTGAATTAACAGAATAGAGATGAACTAATATGAGAGAGAGAGAGAGAAAAGGAGAGTGAATGAAATTGTTTATTTTTTCTTTATTTATTCGGTAGTCAGACGTATCCAGTTTTCAATATTCTCCTATAGAATATCTAGGGGCCCACCAGACTAAGACATGACATTAATCAATAAAGTTTTCTTTTTTTTTTGTAAATAATTTTATCTACTTTTGATTTAGCTTCTGAAAAAAGGAACCATCTATCATATACACAAAGATTTATAAATCAAACAATCAAATTACGCCTACAAAAGGAATGTTTACAATTACTGACGAATTTGTCGATAGACAAAGTAAGTTTTAATCGATATCAACATTCCTGAAATACTTCTGATGATTTTTCTTTATTATATCCAGAAGATCTATGAGTCTAACCTGTGAATGAATGCTAGCAAAACATATCCAATTATTATATGAAAGTATCAGGAAACTATTGCTTATTGTTAGTCTCCAATCTATTTATTGTATCATCCCTTCACATTTTGGGATTGCTTCAAGCATTAGATAATTGTAAGGTATTCGTTTAAGGTAATCGACAAATGACTTTGGATACAGATTTCGTGCTATTTGGTACTTGTCAGCAAAATGTACCTGTAATCGTGAAGGGATCATTGCTGACTGATAGATCCTATCACGTGTCACCAAACTGTTATATCCCGTGGAGAATTATGAATGGTAACTGTGACAACTATTTATGGACCGATGTGATATATATATATATATATATATATATATATATATATATATATATATATTTCCTATTGTACAATCGTTAAGTAACTAAACTATTCATATTCATGTTTCTCTTATTCTAAGCTTTATTTTGACTTATAGGCTATTATTATACAATTTAGCATTCTTGAGTTATACCCAATCTATTAATCACTGTTCCCTCTATTCACAGCCACATTTGGCCAAATCTTGTACAAATGTTATTTTCTATTTTATTGGTACGATGTGGTCAGTTTGTTTGGTATATAAACCCATTATGTTTGAGAATAGTGATTCATATTACAGAGGTTATTATTGCTGTTCTGGACTTTAGTGGCTGGGCTAAACAGATAGCAGGACTGATAAGTGCTCAAGACTACTCATACAGCTTTTTGTGTATCATTACTCTGATCGATAATTCACTCCTCTCTGATAGGCGGTCTCGTTATATTAAACATGGCACGCACTCACTCTATATAACATCAACTTAAAAGTCTGAGATGATACCACTGAGCCTTAATTCCATCACAATTACAGATATACCTCATTGACGATTGCCATATAGCATAGAATCTGAATCCAAAGTTTTCCACAAATTTTCTTCATTATCATATCTCATTACAAAAAATGTACAGTGTAACATTTCTGTCTTCTACAAATCTTGTTCATCTTTTAAAGTCAATTCACTATTAAGCAAAGGATTAACTATGATTGTTTAATTGATTAATTAATTAACTAAAAATGATTAAATTAACACCCCCTTTTCTTTTAAAAATAATCTTTCAGATAATTAAGTATTATAATTGATAACTAAATACTTAAAGTTGTAAACTCGTCTACATTTTTATATCAGCTGATACCTGATTTTTTTTTATATTTTTTTGGTTTCCCTGGATAAAGTTAGTTTCATAATGGATACTTATATTAAAAAGGTGTGTATGGGTGTTTTTGTGGTTGTGTGTGTATGTTTTTATTCAATGAAAATGAACCTTATTAGAAGGGGTTTTTTTTGTGTGGAAATTTTAGTAATTTTATATAGTTGACATCATAAGTTCATTGAATCTAGACCACCATGGAAAAACCTGGAAGCACTGGACAGTCATTTCGTTTTATTGTGGAACTCCTCAGCAATAACAAATTTTTCGATGCTGATCTAAATTAATAGATTTTAGTAAACAGAAAATTAAATCAATATTGATTACACAACAGATCATGTGTTGACATTTTATATCATTACAAAGAGATAAATGAAAGTTCTTTACTTAAAAAAAGAATTCTATGTTTTTGAATTACTATAGTTGGCGTTACGTATAAAATGTGATAAATTGAAATTATATTTAGAACATAGATAATTAAAAATTACATTTTAGTATAGAGTTAGTAGAGATTGGTAAGTTTTTGATTAAGATCATAAATTGATCGATGTTAGACGACTACTACTATTACTGAAAACCTGGAAGAATTCATTGGATGATTATGATAATTAGATAGATTTGTCTGCTATATTGAAATAATTAAAAAAGGTTTTGTGAAGATTTTAGTATTTTTCATAGTTGAAATCATGATTCAACTGAATCTAGACCTCCATGTAAAACCTGGAAGCGCTGGACGGCTGTTTTGTCCTATTATGGGACTCCTCAGCAGTGCGCATTTACGATCCCGCCTCGCGGGAGCTTAACCTCTAGACCACTGGACTGGCCGGCATCAAACGGTGTAAACTACTGAGGAGTTCCACAATAGGACGAAATGGCCGTCCAGTGCTTCCACATTTTCCATCGTGGTCTAGATTCAATTGACTCATGATTTCAACTATGAAAAATACTGAAATCTCCACAAAACCCCTTCTGATTATAATCATATACTCATCAGTGATTGACTTCAAGAGATATTTCCTGGAGTTCTAGTGGGAAGCAGTGACCAGTGAAGTTCAACAACGTCTATTGTGAGATATAAACTCAATGAAGACAATTGGTGAACGGTTGCTCAACTTCATGGATTGGTTGAAGTTAGACATTAACACCGTTGGATGCCAGCCGGCTCAGTGGTCTAGTGATTAAGCGCTCGCGCGCGAGACTGATTGACCCTAGGTTCGAATCTCGCGAGGCAGGATCGTGGATGCGCACTGCTGAGGAGTCCCATAAAAGAACGAAACGGCCGTCCAGTGTTTTCAGGTTTTCCATGGTGGTCTAGCTTCAATTGACTCATGATTTCAACTATGAAAAATATTGAAATAATTTTCAAAATGGTAAATTAAAGACAATACTAAAAATAGATTCTCTTACTGATGTGAACAGAGAAACTAAGATACCATGACAAAGAACGGAAGCTATTTTTTAGAGGACGTTATTTCACTTAATTCAAATTCTTTTTTTCATAGATTATTTTACAAAACATAAGCTTTCGTTTGATGTATGATTCACTGCCATACCTCTTTATATTCCAAAGCCATAGTAATTTAAACGTCACCTGTAATATTCTATTTTTTTTACACTAATTCCCCGTTTGAATATAAAAGTATTTTTCTAATTGTTTTCACGTTATGGCCATGTTAGTCATCTACTTATTCAGGTATGTTTTACACAAATCTGAATTGGGGATCAAGATAAATCGAATAGTGTTCCAGTTAACTCATCTTCTCTGTCTCTCGCTTGTCAACCAATCAGTTGATAGGGTAGTTCTCATCCCTCTAGCCAAGGCAGTTAGTCTTGCTTCGAACTCACGCATTCTTGCCTCAAGGTTAAACCAGTCAACCTATCGTATCGAAGCCTTAATCTAGATTAAGACAAGTTATCTTCTGTATATTAGTAGTAGATAGATTGAGGACATAACACTTACCAATCACTTTCCTTCATTAAATTTTTGAAGGTTCCTAAAGTGATATTTCTTTCATCCCAATTTTAAATTCCATAGTTACGTAAGTTCATAATTTTTGATGAGATTTCTGGGTGGTATATGGGTAGCCTGGATGAAAACTAGGATTGGCCAAACTTAAACATTTATAGCAACTCAGATACAATTGAGTTTGTTTGCATCTAATTCGGTTAAGCCCTTTTGTTAACTTATTTAATGGACAGTCATTCATACAATAACAGCCCATCTATACCATTTCACTTTTATTATATACGCTTGATCATTGCTTACTGCCTACGCATATATTCATTCCGCTAGCATTATTATTAATCGCTTATTTGATCCGATGATTCATGCTTTTCCGCTTATATATATATGTACATCTTAATCCTGTTTACTGCTCTACTGCTCTAGCCCTGCTTGCTCTCTGCTCTGCTCTGTATTACGCTACACCGTACTGTATATGCTTACTCATTCATCCGGCTCTATGGCACTGCTTTTACATGCTTGTTTGACGTACCTGTAATATTGGATAACTGTGTGTGGTTCAGCAATAAACACGATCAACCCTTCGTATTCGTCTTCTGATTTATACATCGTTAGGACGTTGTCGAGTAACGGTTATCAAGACGAACAATATACGAAGCTTAGGGATAGTACCGAATATCGACCACCACAGAATTGGAGGCCTCGCCGTACGAGCACAACACCACAGCATTGGAAGCCTCGCCGAGCGATCACAAAACAATTTTCGACGATATAATCTAATCCCGAAAATTCAAAGCGCTGCGTCTCAAATCGGATTATTATTTGTATCATAATCATAATTGTGGATTTATTAGATCCTAACTCACAAACATTGAACTTAACGATTATATTCATACTAAATAACGATCATTCACAAACAATTGATATATTGGTGCGATTTAGTAAGTCTGTTCCATTTTATAAATTGTACCATTTATTATTATCATTGTTTCTGTCCGTCTGTTTTTTTTGTGACATCTATATCATATTTGTGTACTACTCAAAAGTTTTTTTTATAAGCATGTCTTCCGAAAACACTATGTCAAGTGTACAGCAAACTTCGTCCGTGAGAACTCTCAACCTTCCAGTCCCCTCTTTGAAGGTTACCGACCCTCAGCTGTGGTTCATTAGACTCGAAAACTATTTTCTGGCTAGTCGTATTAACTTACAAAGAGATAAATTCGGCCTCACAAGCACTCTCCTCCCAGACGAAGTAGCAGAAAGCGTACGAGAGGCGTTATCTAAACCGGATACTGAAAGGCCATACGATGTACTAAAGCAGGCAGTAATTAAAGCAGTTGCACTATGTGACCAACAAGCTGTTGAGCAGCTACTCAACCAGGTACAAATGGGGGATAGAACACCATCACAGTTAAAAACTCATATGAAAAGTCTACTAGGTGATAGAAAAATAGACAATAACTTATTTTATCAACTGTGGCTTCGCCGACTCCCGTCCAGTATTCAGCAAATCTTAGCTGTTGGAGATACTGACGCTGACATAGACAACATAGCGAAAATAGCTGATAGAATATACGAAAGAGCAAAACAAGCAAGCCCTCAATCACACAGCGTGACAGTAGACGATAGAATCAGTACTCTGCAGAAAGAGATAGATGTTTTATGCCACAAGCTCACGGAGTTGACCCAGAGCGAGAGACCACGAAAATTATCACGAGTTGGCACGCGCGAGAGAAGCCGATCAGCTTCCAGAAGACGCGCAACTCCGCTGATATGTTGGTATCATCAAATGTATGGTTACAGAGCAAGAAAATGCTTACAACCTTGTAGATTTAGCACGGCAAGTAAGCGGTACCCTCGGTTGTCCATGGCAACGCCTGCAGCGAACACAAAGCCCTCAAACAGCCGCCTATTTTATATACAAGACCGAATGACAGGCACTCAATTCTTGGTGGACACGGGGGCTGAAATTAGCGTAGTACCCCCAGTATGTGACGACAAAAGAAACCTTAACAATTCATTGGTTCTAAAAGCGGCGAATAAATCAGATATTAAAACATATGGCAAACGAATGCTATCCTTAAATTTCGGACGAGGCGCGACATACCGCTGGGATTTTGTCATAGCAGACGTATCGGTACCTATAATAGGCATCGATTTCTTATGCAATTTCAATTTACTAGTAGACTCACGGCGCCACAGACTCATAAACGGTACCCATACTACTTCGATTACGGGAATACTTACAGAATCTGTTTCTATGAACCTAGTGGTAGATAAGAGCCGCAACGACCCACGCAAATTATTGTTAAACGAGTTTCCAGAGCTTTTAAAAGTAACGTACAATAAAACAGATCTCAAGCATACTATCCAACACCATATTGTAACCAACGGACCGCCGGTTAATGCAAGGCCAAGAAGATTAGACCCAAAAAGGCTAGCAATAGCAAAGCAAGAATTCGACAAGTTAATGAGGCTGGGCATAATAAGGCCTTCGAACAGCCCGTGGGCATCCCCATTACACATGGCTCCGAAAAAGAACGGAGAATTAAGACCATGTGGAGACTATCGAGCACTTAATAAGCAAACAATGGCCGATAGATACCCTATACCACACATCCATGATTTTACTTACAGTATAGAAGGTGCTACAGTATTCTCGAAGATTGACTTAGTTAGAGCGTATTATCACATCCCGGTCGCTCCACAAGACATACCAAAAACAGCAGTAACAACCCCTTTTGGGCTATATGAATTCTTACGCATGCCTTTCGGACTGACTAATGCAGCACAAACATTTCAACGGTTTATTGACCAGGTCATCAGAGGCTTACCTGGAGTATACGCATACATAGACGATTTACTAGTAGCCAGCACCACTATGGACGACCACATACAGCAACTACGGCAATTATTCGCGCGACTAATAGATCATGGTATTTCCATAAACATTGAGAAGTGTGAGTTTGGAAAAGGATCCTTACAGTTCCTTGGACACATGGTAACTTCTCAAGGTATCACACCGATCTCTACAGAAATCGATACCATCAGAGACTATCCGTCGCCCGATACACAGAAGAAATTACGACGATTTCTGGGACTAATAAATTATTACAGACGTTTTATTCCGAATTGTGCGGCAATACTTCAACCACTGACCGATGCGTTACGGGGACACTCCCGGACATTCCAATTATCAGCAGAGGCAATACAGGCCTTCGAGAACGCCAAGAAGGCACTCAACAAAAAGACGACATTAGCTAGAAGAAAGAGCGAAACACCGTTAGCTATCATGACGGATGCATCGAATGTGGCGGTAGGAGCTGTTTTACAACAGTTAGTAAATGGCACATGGGAACCGCTTTCATTCTTCTCAAAGAGACTGAATCCTACGCAAACGAGATATAGTACTTTCGGAAGAGAATTACTAGCCATTTACTTGGCAATAAAACATTTTCGACATATGGTAGAAGGCATAGATTTTGCAGTTTACACAGACCACAAACCACTCACGAACGCACTAAGCGCAAAGCAAGATAATTACTCTCCGAGGGAGATCAGACAATTAGAGTTTATTTCCCAGTTCGCTTCTGATATACGATATATTACAGGCCAAGAAAACGAAGTAGCTGACGCACTATCAAGAACGACGATAAATACTCTCGTCCAGTCCGAAATCGATTATCGCGAATTAGCAGAATTACAAAATATAGATGTCGAGTTAAACAGACTGAAGTCTGACAATACAACCTCCCTGGTACTAAAAGAAACTTCAATCGAAAACGTGAGTATTATGTGCGATATTTCTACGGGCCGACCAAGACCATTTATTCCGAAGCCTCTAAGACGAAAGGTTTTCGACACTATGCATAACATATCACATCCTGGGATAAAGGCCACAATCAAATTAATCAGCGAACGTTTTGTATGGCCAAGTATGAACCGGGATGTTCGTAATTGGACGCAAACTTGCATAAAATGCCAAAAAGTTAAAGTAAATCGACACACCAGTTCCGCAATAGGTCCTTTTCGTCATCCTGATAGCAGATTTGAGCATATACATATTGACATTGTAGGACCGCTGCCGATTTCAAACGGCTTTAGTTATATTTTTACCTGCATTGATAGATTTACGCGATGGCCTGTAGCAGTACCCATAAAAGACATTTCGGCCGAAACTATAGCCAAAACCTTAGTAGAGCATTGGATCTCTCATTATGGTGTGCCTGCACACATTACAACCGATCGAGGAGCCCAATTCGAGAGCCACCTCTTCCAACAACTCACTGAACTCCTAGGAATCAAGCGTATTCGGACAACATTTTACCATCCGATGGCGAATGGTATGGTAGAAAGATTACATCGGCAACTCAAAGCCTCTCTTACATCTGTTATTAGCAATAATGATTGGGCCAGCAAGCTCCCATTAGTCATGTTAGGTTTAAGATCAACAATTAAACAAGATATAGGATGTTGCCCAGCAGAGTTGGTTTATGGAACCACTTTACGTCTTCCAGGAGAATTTTTCACCTCAAGTAAAAGTGTTCCAACTGATTTAGCCAGCTATGTACAACGTCTAAAGCAGCATATGGGTAATCTAAGAGTAACACTTCCGAGGCAACATCAACAACGTGTGTACATACCAAAACAACTGAGCGACAGTACCCATGTGTTTATTAGAAGGGATAATGTGCAGCGTCCCTTACAACCAGCTTACGATGGTCCATTTAAAGTTATTAGAAGAAATGATAAAACTATTACAATAGATAAGGCCGGAAAAACGGATATAATTAGCATAGACCGAGTCAAACCAGCTTTTATCGAAGCTGACGATCAGCCAGTATATACAGATCATTCGAAAATCGTCGAGTCACGGAAACGTGAGTCTCAATCATCAACGAACAAAAACGAAGAGAAACCAGTAACGACAAGATATGGTCGAAGAGTAAGATGGCCTCAACGATACATAGCTACGATTTTGAACTAATAATTTCTTTCGCATCTCCAGATGTAAATTTCTTTCCTGTTCGTTTTGTATGTGTACATCGAAAACTTTAATCTATCTATTATTATAGTCAACAAAGTTTGCATATTCCAATGTAAATGTATATAAACCTCTAAAATCACTAACACATTATTTTGATCTGTTATTTTATCTGGCCTCACGGATATATACGAAATCAGACTTTCACGTACTTGTAGTAATTCACACGATAGTTCTGTCATACATCTTAATTTCATAAATTTTGATATTTACTGTCCTGTTAAGTTTAACATTTTTAATTCGCAAACACAGACACTATTTTGTATCCATGTTTGCTGGGGGGGAGCTATTATAGCAACTCAGATACAATTGAGTTTGTTTGCATCTAATTCAGTTAAGCCCTTTTGTTAACTTATTTAATGGACAGTCATTCATACAATAACAGCCCATCTATACCATTTCACTTTTATTATATACGCTTGATCATTGCTTACTGCCTACGCATATATTCATTCCGCTAGCATTATTATTAATCGCTTATTTGATCCGATGATTCATGCTTTTCCGCTTATATATATATGTACATCTTAATCCTGTTTACTGCTCTACTGCTCTAGCCCTGCTTGCTCTCTGCTCTGCTCTGTATTACGCTACACCGTACTGTATATGCTTACTCATTCATCCGGCTCTATGGCACTGCTTTTTCATGCTTGTTTGACGTACCTGTAATATTGGATAACTGTGTGTGGTTCAGCAATAAACACGATCAACCCTTCGTATTCGTCTTCTGATTTATACATCGTTAGGACGTTGTCGAGTAACGGTTATCAAGACGAACAATATACGAAGCTTAGGGATAGTACCGAATATCGACCACCACACATGATATCAGTTCACGATTTAATTGACTGTTGGTCTAATCAATATTGAAGGATACAGACTATTGCTTGATCGGGGTCAGGATGGCTATCATGACTAACTATCAATGTTCGGTGATAGTTCTGAATAGACAACAGTGATGCGTTCACTCTTTGTTTACCTATAGATCTTGAGTTTAAAAATTATCTTATACCTTTTACCCGACCGTAGCTGTTACCTTGGCGTGGTGGTCGGGCTTGCCTATCATGATGACCCAACTGAGCTATATTGGTTGGAACGTATGTTCCTGTAAGTTCTACCATGCCAGGCAGGTCGATTGGAAAACGGTGAGACTAAAGGCAGCAACTCAAGGTCTGAGGACGAAGTCGTATTGCTGATTGTAGAGGGGTGTGACAGCAGTAATGTGTTTCCCTTGGACAGTCAGTGTTTGCAGCGATGCTGCCTTCCCACAAGGAGGGGTGGGGTTAAAAAAGGTCGACCCTAAAAATGTCACGCCTGACCTTACCTCACGGATATCCGTCTCCGGCGGTAAGGTCCTTTGAAGAACGGAGCTAACACGTCGAAAATTCCTCACAAAAAGGCCGTGCGTGACCAGCCTCGAGCAGTTGTTCCTTGGGCTCTGCGGTCACTCTCCCAGGTCGTTAAGACCAACATTAATCCAACTTCATTTTCAGGTCCCTCTAGAAATACCCTTCCACAGTGTGGGTAGCCGGGATGTGATATTAGTCCTCTTATCTGTAACAGCATATGAGACCAAGTTGGTCACATTCAAATCCTTCCTTCTACTCTCTCTTCATGTTTTTCTTTAGAAAACTGAAATTTCCTGTGAATCATTTGCAAATTTAATAATCGATCTTTTATTTCAAGAAAATAATGGCAAATTACTGGATAAAGTAAGTTTACATTGTTTTAATTTTCTGAAAATTTTGGCGCATTATTTAACTCTTATATTTAATAATGCTTTATCATTTCATAACTAAAATTATTATTATCAGAAGGGGTTTCTGTGGAGATTTAATATTTTCATAGTTGAAAGCGTCAGTCAATTGAAGCTAGACCACCATGGAAAACCTGGAAGCACTGGGACTCCTCGAGACTGCGCGATCGTGGATGCGCACAGCTGAGGAGTCCCACAATAGGACGAAACGGCCGTCCAGTGCTTCCAGGGTTTCCCTGGTGGTCTAGCTTAAATCGACTCACGCTTTCAACTATAAAACTATTATGCCTAGCAAATAAAATAAGAATTTCTGATTCAAAATAACTCATTGACGATGAAGATATAATAACAACAAAGACAGGTCAATTGTAATATTGAATGAAAGAATGTTGATAATACAAACCGTTACCATGGGGTTGTTGTTGTAAAGATTGTTGAATTTTATGGTTTGAAGTAAAAGAAAACCGATTGAAAACCTGGAGACACTGGGTTAATATTTTTTTCTAGTAAGAGACTTATCATTAGTGATGATCCGTAATCCAACCTTGGATCAAACAAAAGACTTTCAGATCTCTTAGTGGATCGTTAACTTTTAGGCCATAGCTACATAGTACTTACTGGTTTTTAAATGGTTATTTAACTAAGATCAGGAATTTATTGGATAATGTGTCGACTCTTAAAACCTGAAGTATTGGGTTCGAATCTCAAGGTAAACATCAACATTCGGTTGAAGAGTCCCAAATAATATGAAATGTGACGCGTAGATTTTACTGCTGAACGCACACCGGTTATACTAAGACAAATCTCATAATTTTTGTTTATTTTTAGTTAGTAACTGGTATCTATAACTCACAGCTTGAAGGTTAGCTACAAAATTAAATGAAGCAGTTACCAAGATCGTCAAAATATTTGAGCGATCTATATCAGATATTTTTTTATGTCATACGAATCATATTCGGGGAATTTATCCTTGATAACTGGTTAATATAAGTGAAATTTATATGTATGTATCAATATCAATGTCTCAGTTGATAATTTCAAATAAACTCAGTATCACTTCTTCAGTGGTTGATGGATATGGAGGATTTACCTAGAGGGTTGGAAAACCCTGATTCCAAACTAATGGTCCACATAGACTCCAAGAACCTGAGGGAACAAAAGGCGTATGAACCAATTGTTAGTCACAGGCTACCATGAGACTGCATCTTCTAATGTTGCTCCACTGCCTTATGAATTAGACGTTTAGATCAAAGGCTTGGGATGTGGTCCCCTAAGAAATTAACCTGCTTCGGTTCGGACACCCGGGCAGTCCCACAGCCTTAACACAAATCAATGATAACTGCTACTGGCTTTATTGTTATTGTGTAGCACTATGCGTTTGGTGCTTCCTTGTACCACATTAAGTTTCGTTTCACTGAATTGAAAGGAGGGTACACAATTTACAAAATGGTGTTATCTAACATCTTAAAATAAACAGGAATCACTAAAATACTGTTTTCTTTAAGTGTGAGACTCTTCGACAAAGATCATCCAGAACCCCTACACAAAATAAATCGGATTCATGACTATGAAGTATCGTAGTGACCATTTTATCATTAGATTAATAAGTTGTAATCCAATGGTTTATATTTCGAGCTTGAGTTAACTCACGAAATAACGCAACCATTATTCAATATCATCCGGTATAACTACCTCACTCTCATAATTAGTTGAACCTCATCAAGTAAGACTTGTCATAAAAACTTCCGTAATGTTTTCGCAAATTTAGTTAATAATGAACACAAAAATATCATTTAATTTGTTGGATTGTGGAAAGTTGCAAGTAGAATGTTAAAGAGTTTTCCAGAAGAAGGCTATTCCTCAAAACATTATTTACCAATAGTTGAGATCACTTATCAGTTGAATCTAGACCACCATGGAAAACCTGGAAGCGCTGGACGGCTGTTTCGTCCTATTGTGGGACTCCTCAAGAGTGCGCATCCACGTTCCCACCTCACGAGATTCGAACCCAGCACCTATCAGTTTCGCGCGCGAGCGCTCAATCTCTAGACCACTGAGCCGGCATCCAACTCTGTTAATGTCTAACTTCAACTAATCCGCGAAGTTGAGGAACCGTTCACCAATTGTCTTCACTGAGTTCCTATCTTACAACAGACGTTGTTTGAACTTCACTGATCACTGCTTCTCACTAGAACTCCAGGAAATACCTCTTCAAGTCAGTCACTAGTGAGCATGTGTTGGTTAATATCAGGTGTTTTGTGGATATTATAGTAATTTTAATAGTTGACATCATGAATCAATTGAAGCTAGACCATCATGGAAAATGTGGAAGCACTGAACGGCCGTTTCGTCCTATAGTGGGACTCCTCAGCAGTGCGCATCCACGATCCCGCCTCGCGAGCGCTTAACCTCTAGACCACTGAGTCGTCATCCAACGGCGTACACTGCTGAGGAGTCCCACAATAGGACAAAACGGCCGTCTAGTGCTCCCAGGTTTTCCATGGTGGTCTAGCTTGAGTTGACGCACGATCTCAGCCATTAAAATTACTATAATATCTACAAAAAACACTTTCTCAAATGTATCAGTTAAAGAACCTCTAAACATCTTCGAAGTATATGCTAGAAACTAGTGAATTCATTTATGTGGTATTTCATCATTATAATATATTTTATTCACATTCAATGATCAACTCATGATTTCACTAAGTTTCTTTGTTCTCTATTGTTTTTTTTCTTTTTCTGATTGAACAGGTAAATCTCGATAGTAAGTGTTATATCGATTGAGTGCATGCTTGCCCTGTTTGATATATGAACGTACTGATCCCCGCCAATCAGAGAACTGTGAATTATCGGTCAGAGATATGATACACAAAAGCCGTATGAGCAGTCTAGAGTGCGTATCGGCCCTGCTTTCTTCCTATCACAGCCCGTTAAGTCCAGAACATCAATAACAGCCTCTGCAATATGAATCATTATTCTCAAACATAATGGGTTTATAAACCAAACAAACTGACCACATCGTACCAATAAAATAGAAAATAACATTTGTACAAGATTTGATCAAATGTGGCTGTTAATAAGGGGAACAGTAATCAATAGACTGGGTATAACTCAGAAATGGTAAATCGTGCAGTAGTAGTCTATAGATCAAAATAAAGCTTATAATAAGAGGGACATGGATATGAATAGTTTAGTTACTTAACGACTATACAATAGGAAATGTACATATCATATTGGTCCATAAATACTCCTCAGAATTACCATTCATTATTCTCCACGGGATATCACAGTAAGTTCAACTGATCTAAATAGAAATGTAAATAAAGAATAAACTATTTCATTACACATCAATCTGTTCTATTCTGTTCTCCTTTTCTTCTTCTTCCTTTTTCTAGTTTGTACTGGATGTAAGATGACAGTGACTGCAGTAAAATTCATATTACACCTTTCAGAAGTCACTTATTATATTAACAAATTTATTGCTCAATTGTGTATATTCACTGGACCATATTTATCTGAAGTTAGTAGGCTATGAAAATTTACTTATCTGATAGATAAATATATTTTTGTAGTTATCGTTTTGATCGAGGAGATTTGTAGATTAATTTAATTCGAAGATGGTATTCATTATGGATTACCTTCAGATGAGGTAATAATTCAGATGAAATAGTACCGGTTAGGTGCTCTACCTATTACGGGGCTTTTCAGAAACGCCTCGAAAAGCTGAAACTCATGGCATTCATAGCTCTCTATAAGTCCCATACGCCTAGACGAATAAAATAGAATACAATGGCCGAAATGTTCAATGTCAGTCTATTTAATATATATCGCGATGTTACCTCAACTGGTGACAATGAGTGATGAAAAGCGATTGGATATCAATGATTAGTTGATCAGATAGTTTCTAGAGATATACTTTATTCATACAAATAGTTTCATGATGGATTAACTATTCATAGTGGATACTTCAGTGTACGCACGGGACCGAGTCAGTCATCTTCAGCTCTACCAACGATCTTGACACAATTCAGCTTCCATATTGAAAACAAATGATCTAGTATTTAGATTTGATCGTTTCATGATAAGTATCAGTCTGAAGTAAACTCTCAGCAGTCATATCCCTAGTAACTGCATACTTGCATAATGCTTCAACAAAAATCAACGATTTCTTCTAAAAAAAGAATATGATTTACGTACACAACAGAGCTGAGAGTAATAACAGACATTCACTAACAATCGAGGTGTTCACGTGTGAATAATTTATATCTCACTTCGTAAAAAAACACTATTTATTCGAATCACCTCAAAGTTTCATATGTGTTTTACTCTTCAGTTGACAATCATTGCAAGTCAAGCTTGTCTATTTAAGAAGGGGGTTTTGTGGACATTTTTAGTAATTTTATATAGTTGAGATCATGAGTCAATTGAAGCTAGACCACTACGGAGTTCAACTACATCTGTTGGGAGATATCAACTCACTGAAGACATTGGTGAATGGTTGTTCAATTTTGTGGATCGGTTGAAGTTGGACATTAACACTGTTGGATGCTGGCTCAGTGGTCTATCGGTTAAGTGCTCGAGCACGAGACTGGTAGGTCCTAGGTTCGAACCTCCCGAGACGGGATCGTGGATGTGCGCTGATGAGGAGTACCACAATAAGACGAAACATCTGTCTATTTAACTTAATAATTAAAATAACTTATCTGAAAATCATCTACTTGTTAATCAATCCAATATTTAAGTACTCACCACTGAAATAATGATTTGGATCGGTTCTCTCCTATTATTTGACTCATATGATCAATTACTTTCAAGTAGTTATCAGTGATTGTCGATATTTAGATTCACCCTCCATTCTGATTATAAAAAAAACTACAAACTGAAAATATTAGAATGATTTCTGAAGATCATAGATTGATTGAAGTTAAACATTAACACTGTTGGGTGCCATCTTAGTGGCTTTGAGAATAAGAGTTTACGTGTGAGACTTAAGGTCCTGGATTCGAGTTCCTTTGGTTCAAGATCATGAGTGCGCACTACTGAAGAATCTCACACTATTACGAAACGGTTATCGAGTGATTTCAGGTTTTCAATGGTAGTCTAACCTACATCGACTCATGTATGTTTGTTTTTATTTTTCTGAGTTTATATATAAGTTTTTATTTATAGGTTAATTAACTAATACTTTAAAATTTTCAGTGTTCATTTGTTGCTCAAAACTATGCTGGTATATTAATAAATATATTTGAAAATTCAACTGTTCTTATGATCTGTCAGGTAGTTGAATGGGTGCTTTCCTTTTTTGTTTTTAATTTTTCTTATTGTCTTCTAAAACAATATATCACTTATAAGCAAAGATGGATAGTGGCTAGCAGTGGAATTCAGGACGTGAGTTTCGTCCTATTCGGGACTCGTCAGCTGGATGTACCTGCATTTCAGAATTGATGTTCACTCTGGGACTCAATTGTTTGTTTTAACAAAAGTAACTAACTCAAGATATGTTAAACATATTATATAAGATTATTAGCCTTGACAACAAATACCTTTGAAATTGAATTTGAATAAGAATGATTCTTAATTGTAGAATATACATAGGTCATGAATATAAAGATAACATCTTGAAATGATGGAAAGGATTTAAAAATTTCAATCAGTGATTTTGATGTTGTTAAGTTGTTTAAACTAGATACTTTAATTGTGAAACCTTCATTATTGTTTTACATAAGACTATCCATTGTTACCGTGCCTAACAGTAAGCTTTTTAGTTATTACTTATACTTGAAAGGGTGAGTCAATTGAAGCTAAACCACCATGGAAAACCTGGGAGCACTGGATGATCGTTTCGTCCTATTATGGGACTCCTTAGCTGTGCGCATCCACGATCGCGCAGTCGCGAGGAGTCCCATAATAGGACGAATTGGCCGTCCAGTGTTTTCAGGTTTTCCATGGTGGTATAGCTTCAGTTAACTCACGCTTTCAACTATGAAAATACTGAAATCTCCACAAAACCCCTTCTGATAGCAATATTACTTACACGTTAAGTCAGTTCATTCTAGTGGTCTATGAAAACAATCAATCAAAAACAAAGTTATCAAGATGAGGTAATTTAGTGTATGTGATATATAATTAGAGAGCTCACTTGTACACGAAGTTAACACTAACAATATTATCCAGAATGATAATAGAGGCTTTATAATTAAAACAATAAACTTAGATAACTCATTTACATTTAGCATTAACATTAGGAAACATTGATATCCAGTTAATGAGTTTCAAAATAAGAATAAATATGCATCCTGAATTCAAATTCTAGCTACAACCCAAGGATATAATAAAACTTTTAGCTACATAGGATACTGAGTGACCCATTGATGATGTAAATATACTAACAGAGACTCGTCAATATTCAGTTTCAAGAATTAACAACAGAACACTAACCTTGCGAGGCGGGTTAGTGAATACTCACTACTGAGGCATCTCACAATACGACGAAACTGCCGTCCACTGATTCCAGGTTTTACATGAAGGTCTAGCTTCAATTAATTCATGATCTCAACTATTAAAATTATTATAATATCCACCCAAAAACCCCTGATATATATACAAGTGGCTGGGATTAATATATACTTTCTGAACATCTACTAAAATCTCATAATCTGTATAATCAGTCATATCTGAATTCCTAACTGTTATAAACGAAGGGATTGATTGATAGTCAGTATTTACTTTGAGATGACGGCTTGAGGATTATAGCACTGTGATATGCTTGATACTAATTACGATTTTCTCGGTAAACGAACGAAGGTCACTGACACAATGACACGATAGGCTATTCTAATCCGTTGTCCCAGGCCCCGCTAACTAGAGTGAGAAGTTCAAGACAAAGTAGGGTAAAATATATTCCGTAAGCAGCCTAAGTACAAGCAATCACAATGGGAAGAAATCAAACTTATTTATGCAGTATAAAATTGTCCTTGGGTGGCATTACAAATTAGCACACTAAAAAGATACAATGGACCAATAGCGTTTAAGTTATTTCCAAATGGGAAATACGACTCGAAGGTGAAAGGAGCGCTTTTGGCGCGAAAACAAGGAAATTCGAATTTTCAAAATAAAATTACAAAATAAGTCATTTACCAAGTAAGTTCTGGGGATTTAACATTCCCCAACACACTGAAAAGTAGATCTCATGACTGAGGTATTTCATTTTTCGGGGGGGGGGTATTCATTTATCATTGAACTCAAGTTTATTTCTATCAGGATTAAAAGTTTATCATCTATTTTTCTTTTTAGTCAATAATGATATGTTAAGGAATACTGGAGACGTTGAAATGTCGGAAAGTTGAGAAAGAACTCTGTTTTACTTCAATGTATTTTGTCTATAAATAAACTATTGTGAAAGTACTTTATCTTATGAAATACAAAATACTTTACTTATATAGGGTTAAATGAAATAATAAGTTAGTGGCCAATAAGAGACTGATGGATTGCAATCCTAAACCTCAATGGGAATGTTCAACCAAACAATACCAAGTGAAGTTAGTGTTAGACATTCTAATCTTAACTGTGTTCTATCATGATTAATTTGAAGTGAAAATTACTACAAAGCTGTAAATCGTTAAGGTTAAAATTGCCTCATATCTGTATTTCTTCATTATATACAACCTTTCTTGTATATATTACCACCACTAAATTAACTACTTCTATGAATTTGATGTTCATCTTGTTGTACTGATGAGGTAAGGCAACTTGGACCGATGCATATATGTGTCTAGTCCTACAATGTAGCTGACTGATTGACAAATGATTGACTTAAACTTGTAGGAGTTGGTATTATGTTAAATCTAGATAACTTATTCTAGCTTCAGAACAAGCAAGTTTATTCATTCTTCTTGAGTTATATTTTGATCTTGACAATTAGTTACTTATCAATCTTGTCTGTTTTTATGACATTGAGTTATGATATGATGTGAAAAAATTGATGAAGGAAAGAGTTGGAATGATTACTTACTTACGCCTGTTACTCCCAATGAAGCATGGGTCGCCGACCAGCATTCTCCAACACACTCTGTTCTGGGTCTTCCTTTCTAAATCTATCAAATTTTTGTTCATTCTTCTCATATCTGTCTCCATTTCTCGGCGTAATGTGTTCTTTCGTCTTCCTCTTTTCCTTTGGCCTTCAGGATTCCATGTGAGGGCTTGCCTTGTGATGCAATTGGGTGATTTCCTCAATGTGTGTCCTATCCACTTCCATCGCTTCTTCCTGATTTCTTCCTCCACTGGAATCTGGTTTGTTCTCTCCCACAGTAGAATGATTATGGTTATCAATAATAATTTCATTATTACGTAACCTATTTTATCAATTTCTAATTCTAGTAATCGTATGTAAACCTATCATTACCTCTAAGATTATCACAAAGTCTATCTTATCTATCTCTAGACCTTATATCTATACATAAGATTACTAGAATTAGAAATTGATAAGACAGGTTACTTAATAATTGAACAGGATTTAAAAAGTTTACATAAGTGAAAAGAATTAAGTGGGTGAAAATGTATTAGTGAAAGATGGTTTCGGCGTATATAAAATAAGAATTTGGTAAGAGAAGACCATATTATGAAACGACTACCTCCAACCACCATCTTATCTCAACATAGTGCACGTAATGTCGAGTCACCTAGATTAGTGACCACGTTGCAATTTGGTCGATAGGATTCGATCTTCACTCTGAATGACCTGACACACATGACATTCATCACTCCCCAGTGACCGATCAATTGTAAAAATCCGTTTATCATTGCATCTTTATGATGAATTACAAGTAAGATGCAGGAGAATAGTTTGAAAATACAGGATCGTGGATGCGCAATGTTGAGGAGTCCCAGAATAGGACGAAACGGCCGTCCAGTGCTTCCAGGTTTTCCATGATGGTCTAGCTTCAATTAATTAATGATTTCAACTATGAAAATACAAAATTATCAAAGAATAATGTCTTGGCATAGAAATTAATGGTTAATGTATACAGTAATCAAACAGCTTTTTGATATACATAAAACAACTATATTTTGAAACTCGAAAAGACTAAACTGCATCATCAATTTAGTGAATGGGATCATATCTCATGAAAGACGAATCACCCAAGTTTGTTTAGTTTACCGAGGTTTCTATAAAGACTGTCAATTATTAAGGAATAAAAATCGTACATTTGACACGTCTATAATATGTAGGTTGTAAAACAGACAAAAGAAATCACAAGTGGATCCGAAGTTACATTAGTACTTGCAAAAGTATATTTTATACAGATAACAGTTTCTAAGTAGTTTATTTCCACTCTGTAACCTATTAAGACAAGGGCCTGATACAATTAATTGTCTGGTATATGCTACTTATGTCGACATAAGTAGTATATAACATCAATCAGAAGTGAAATGTTTGGCAGCAGGTTAAGAAAGTCGAATTGAAGAGAATGGGAACATAGTGTAATTGTAACAGAAATGAAGGAAAGGTGAAGTTCGAGACAATTGATAGAAGATCCATAAATGAAGTACTGAACGTATGGTTTTCATATTTGACGAAAGAACTCTGTAATTTTGTATTAAAATACACCGGTTGTCCCCACCTGATTTCTCTTTCATTACGATTGCTGTAACCACTTTGGGATTTATGATTTAATTTTAAATTTTGTGTTAATATACCAATAATATTTCTGACCAAGTATCAATGGTTGTCACATTCAGGTTCTAAAGGATTATTGATTCTTTCATCATTATATCTACTCTTTATTGATGAGTTGTTGATGGAAAACCTTTTTGGATAAATTGGGCTGTATGGATATTATGCCAATCTATTCATTATCAAATAAGTTAGGTGATTATGTTGAGTTAAAAGGATTTAATCTAATTTATTTATGGACTCCGTTTATAGATTTTCTTACTATTTTGATAATTGATGCATTATGCTTCATTTGAATCAAACCTCACTGATGTGAACATTTAAGACGCTTTCGTTCAATTGACTCTAAAACGTACTTTTATTCTGGGTCGATCAGTTTTATTTCCTTTGTGATTCACATCAGGAATTTTTTGCTTTGTTCTTTTAAAAATACTAGATTACCGGTATTCATAAGTGCAAATATAATTATCGTCATTCGAGGTGCATTGTGCATCGTTATTTATTTGGATAGCTTAACCTATCATGATTTTCACAATATAGCCTCCAGAATATCATTATCGTTTCTCAAACCTTTTGATGTTGAGAATCAAACTCTTCCTATAATTCCCCTTTCAACCAAGCTTAGTTGGTGAAGGCGGTAGTCCCTTCTGGAGAAAAGGCGTAGATTGAAGTATGGCATAACTACCGGGGCACACTAGTTGTTCTCGCAGATAGCGTTATGTTTTTTGACTTTATTTCTTGTCCAGTGATCGCTAACTAGTAGTGCACCACACGGCAATTATTGATTTTATCCCTCTTCGTATTGAAGTTGTTTAACTTTGGACAAAGTTATTATTTAGTAGGGCATCTAGTTTAGCTGCATGTTCACTGGTAATTAAATGTATTTGTTTTGATAGTTTATTACATTGATTGTTTGGTGGTATATACTTAAATTTCTTTTATTTAGTTTTATTATAGGGGTTAGCATGTAGTGGTCTGAATTGGTCTCTAGGAACATACTCATGTAGATACCAAAGACTAAAATGTCTGGTTTCTTTTCTACAAAAGTTTTAACACTTTTTGGTTTGGAGAAAATCATAATCACCCAACACCAAAGTCTTCGTTTCAGTTTTTTTTTCTCAGTATTCTTTATATAAGTATTGCAAGTTGGACTGCGTTCATCCCCAGGGTTCTGCATTACATCATACTTATGCAGTTATGTATTATATATAAAAATGAAAAGAAAAGCGTTTACGAATTAAATATTTATTATGAACTTTCTCGAATGGTTTAAACAAAATGATGAATAATAGCTGAAATCAAAAACGGTTAGCTTAGTTTCAAAAATCGTCTGAGAACCATTCACCATCTGAATTCTAAAAGAAATGAAGTCATAAATCAGTGTTACGTTTACAATAAATCACTCAGTAAAATATTAGATTAATAATCTTCGCTACTGATTAAAATATAAGTAGCTAGAATTTAGTCATTGAAATTTAACAGCTATCAATAGACTTAGTAGATGACGTGAACGATTTGAATTGAAGGACAATTTATTATGAATGGTTGGCTGATAATATATTTCTGAAAAGTCTTTTATTTGTGTGTTAACAAACAGGAGAAAAATCAATCTCGTGTTTATTTCCTATAAAGATTTTGGCTTCTATTTTACCTCCTTTCGAAGAGTGGCAATTCATTGACTAAAACGTCATAATACTATTGTTGGATTACTTACATTCAACGTTACTTTCAATACTAATCTTCAATCCTTACAAGAATGTTATCGAAATTTTTAAACGGAATACGGTGCTTTATTTAATTATATTCTATTTCAAAATTAGTTTAACTCAAATATGGTAAGCAGAGATGGATAGTGGCTAGCAGTGGAATCCAGGACGCGCGTTTCGTCCTATTTGGGACTCGTCAGCTGGATGTACCTGCATCTCAGAGTTGATGTTCACCCAGGACTCAGTGACCGAGTGGATAACGCGATGGCGTTTGAAGCGAGGGTACTGGGTTCGAGTCCCAGAGTGAACATCAACTCTGAGATGCAGGTACATCCAGCTGACGTGTCCCAAATAGGACGAAACGCGCGTCCTGGATTCCACTGCTAGCCACTATCCATCTCTGCTTGCCATGCTTGTGAATTAAGGCTATATTGAGGCAATACGCACAGTATGCACATATTATTATTATTATTATTATTATTATTATTATTATTATTATTATTATTATTATTATTATTATTATTATTGTCAAGTGTTTTGTAACAGCTCAGAGTCTTCTTATTTTCTGATAAGTCATATAAAAGGCCGTGGTAAGGCCGAGAGTGAGGAGAGTCCACCTTCCCTCTCGAAATGCTCTCACATGGCCACACGTATATATCCTCTACCAGAGAAGTCCTATTCACTGCCATCTCGTGGCATTACTATTGTTTACGAAATTGAGAGGACGAAAAGCGAAAGTCCGGCTCTTTAACCTAGTTGGTGGACACGGCGAGTCCACCTAGGGGAGTTGGAAAACCCTGATTCAAAACCAATGGTCTACATGGACTCCAGTATCCTGAGGAAACAAATGCCGCATGAATCAATCGTTGATCATCGACTACCATGGGACTGCAATTCCTCACGATGCTCCACTGCCTTGTGGATCAGATCTTTCGATCAAAGGCTCCGGGTGTGGCCCCCTAAGAAAACTATCTGCTTCAGTTTGGGCACCTGAGCAGTATCGTAGCCCTCACACAAATCATATGAGATTTGTGTGGAGCATATATATTTGGTGCCCCTTTGTACCAATATTTATGTGTTTAAATAAATAAATAAATACACCTTTACCGCTCAAACTAAGTAATGTTTGAGTTAAACTTCAGAAGGTGATATTCTTCTTTTTCTATACGATTATATTTAAAACTCACTTATCATCAGAAAGCATAAATAGTATCAGGCTTTTAAAATGATATTTCCTAGTATGTCTAACTTATAGAGAAATTTACATTATAGCAGACATTTCTGATTGTTTGACAAAAATATGCTCAAATACTATTTTGTCCATAAATCATTCAGTCAAGATGTAATTTTATCTAGTCTTCAGTACTAATTGAATTCCATCGATAGAATGAATGTTTACCTGTTGGATTAGGTACATCAACATAAATCGATATAATTCAATTTTGCAACTAAGGCTTAGATAAAATGATATTAGTTACTATCGGATGGTTAATAATGACAACCGATTTATCTTCACATGTGATAAACTCTGAGACCTTGATAGCTCAAAGCTGTTGTCTTTGATCGTCAGATTGGATGGACATGATTAAATCTTATTTGAGGCATCAATCATGTTTAAGATTTCAGCTATAACTTGCTGATAAGTATAGACCAGTAATAAACCTGCTTTCAGTCGACTTTTTCGATTCTGGCCGATCACGTAACAATAGAATTCGGTCCAAGTTGGTTACTCAAACAAATATATTTTATAAAGACAGAACTTTTCAGTTCACATTGTCTTAGCAAGATTCATTTTTACGAGATGGAGTTGACAACCCCATAACCACCCTTCCCCATTCAGCAGCGATAGGTAGTGGCAGTAATTTTCGAAGAGCTCCAGGAGTATTTTTTTTGTGAAGCTAGCAATAGCTATAATTTTTGAAAGTTTATATATATTTTGATACTACTTTCAAATTATCAATTGGACTAGTAAATGTTTCGTAACGAAGCTCAGAATTGTCAGTTAATACTATAAACTAAACCATATTTGACCACCATTTTCCCATTGAATCGTTGTCTATAGTACAAAGGAAGAACACACAAAGTTCAACTAGGACTAAGCTGTCGTCTATAACTAACTCTTTATCTTTGTTCAACATAAACTGATCCAGTGTTAGTATGTTCTATTATCCTGAAACATTGATTTCATTACCAGGATAATATTAATTTGTGGAAGGAAAATTATTAAACTTGATTAAAAGGTATATTCTGTCACTTATTAACTTTAAATGAAAAAAACAAACAAACAATAGAAAGCATTGAAAAGTTATTTCGCCTTAGTTTGTTAATCCCTAGTACTTAACTTTTCAGCAGAGGCACCCATTATTTTAATGGGGTTTGAATCTAGGACCTTCAGACAATGGAAAGAACTCCTAACGTTTTAGCCACTGACCTGCATTGAATGATTCATATATTTGATTTCAATCAAGTTCCGTACAGAAACAATTGTCCAATGCTTTCTAGTTTTCAATAGTTGACCAATTAAGATCAATCAGTGATGTAAACTATGAGATCTTGTGTATACTTACTGTGATCAAATTGTTGGGGAGACCCAGAATATTCCTTAGAAAAAGCTCAAAGAGGTCATGAAAACGCCAGAAAACATTTTATGCAGTCAGTATTGAGAAGAAATTTTCTAGAAACATCTAGAAAGCGAAGAATCACCTGTCACATTTCTGACCGGATGATTACTTGCCCTACTACTATGTCTCATAGGGTTTCAGAATTTTTCGGAAGCCCAATACCGTCTGAAATGCTGTAAATAACTTCAATTGTCTGCACTTAAATTAACTTCGGAGAAAAGCTTTCTCTCCATATTTCACGCTTTTCTTCTCATATTCAAGTTTTCGTGTGGATTTAGCCTAAGGTAATAAGAAGACCTTAGGAAACTGATTTAACTGTTCAATGAATGCAGCAAAAGTTTGTCACTGTTTCGTTTGTGAAAGGTAGTTAATAATAAAAAGAGGCTTATTCTAAACAGAAAGGACGATAACTTATTTAAATAACAATAAAGTACATTAATTCTTGTTGATTCAATATTCAGTGGGCTTACTTTAGTAATAACTTTGATGAGATCAATGGCAGATTTCTCGAAAGTTCTTATACACTAACAAAGATATGAATAAAGAGATAACCAAAGTTTGAAATATGAACTATCGAATTCTGTGTTACTGGTCTACAGTTAAAGTATACACACAACTAGTTTGATGCCATGTATAGTGGTGGATAGACTGTACTAAAAATCTATCATCAATTTGTGGTAAATATCTGAACCTAGGGGATTATTGGAAATTAGATAGGATTAGACAGCTGTTATGTCTCAGTTAGATATTCTTCAACAATCTGTATCTATAACCGTGCACAGAAACAAACTCCATAATATCGATCATGATACCTGCAATTCAACAAGTTGGTAGTCAATAGTTCACAATTTTAACTTTATTTAATATATAATGGAATATGATTCTTATCTATATTTGACTGATAAACAACTAAATACTGTATGAACTATAGTGTATACCGATTCCTTTTTGTATTGTTCGGTTGAATCCTCCACTTGATGTTTATGATTGCAATTGATCAGTCTCTTAATGGACATATATGAATCCTGTACGGATTGCCTCGATATTGCTATTAATTTACTAGTATTGTAAGCAGAGATAGATAGTCGTTAGTAGTGGAATCCAGATTATGTAGTTATGTGTTATTGCTTCCACTAATTCCGAAATAGCTTTTATACTACCGGATAATCCAGTTATCACCTTTATATTACATGATAACCGCTATATTTTGTCTAAACTGATAAATTTTAGTTGTTAATATCTAATAGATTCATATTTAATTAATGTTAATGCCAAATCATATCACTAAATAATAAACTATACAGTTAATATTCACTTAGTATTACTTGTTTGAATCTTCCCATTTATAGAGATGGATAGTGGAATCCAGTGGATTCCACTGCTAGCCAATATCCATCTCTGCTAACCATGCTTGTGAATTAAGGTATATAAAGGCAATACGCACAGTATGCATATATGTCAATTAGAGACTGACCAGTTGCAGTCCTAAACATCGATGAGAAGATTCAAACAAACAATACTAAGTTGAACTTCCCATTTATGTTTAGGACTGCAACTGGTCAGTCTCTAATTGACATATATGCATACTGTGCGTATTGCCTCGATATAGCCTTATTTTACAAGCATTGTAAACAAAGATAGATAATACTAGGAGTGGAATTCAGGACGCACGTTTCGTCCACTGCTAGACACTATCCACCTTTGTATAACGTTAATACTTTACAACAAAAAAATACTCACTAAAATACACTTCATGACAGAAGTTACAACAGAACAAAAATAATAAACAAACTCCAACTCACCGTGTTATCAGAAGAACAAAGTTTTATAGCTGCTTGTTCAATAGACTCTGGTGTAATAATTGACTCTATATCTTCTTTTACTATGCTCAATGTTTTCATCAATAGATTGGTATCTGTTAGGAACAATTAATAGAGTTGATCAGAGTTTTATTTTCAAACTTTATATTGCATGTTTAAGTTATTTAGTGACACGAAATAGAGAACACTTGATATTTGATATTAGTGATACGGACATAATCTGCAATTGACCTTTTAAATTCCTAAGAAATTTGTAAAAGGTTAATTGTATTTAGCTAATTGACATAGTGGTCTAGCTTAGATCAACTCATGAATTCAACTATTAAAATCACTACAATCTCTAGAAATCCTCATTATAATGACAATCATCATATGCTCACTAGTGACTAGCTTCAAGATGGGTTTCTTGGAGTTCTATTGAGAAGCTGTGATCAGTTGAGTCAAATCTGTATCGGGTAGAGATAGGTATCTACATCAGACAATGGGTGAAATGTTGTGCAAGATCATGGATCAGCTGCAATTAAACAGCGACACCGTTGGATGCCCTCTCAGTGGTCTAAATGTTACGTGTCCACGCATGAGACCGAAGGTCCTGGGTTCGAGTCCCTTTGGTGCGGTAAAGTGGATATGCACTATTGAGGACGAAACGGCTGTCCGGTGTACTTCCGAAGTTTTGATGGTTGTTTAGCCTATAATGACTCATGAATTCAACTATTATAATCGACATATCACTGACTGGCTAAATTCACATTATTATTATTATCATTAGCTTTTTCAGTTTTATAGAAGTTTCCAGAAGCCAAGGGTAGATTTTAACCGAATAAATAACCTTTTGTTTTGTATTTAAACAAATCTCAGACTAAAAGATTATCCATATTATAGCTTCTTAGTTTGTCTGGGAATCAATATTTATCTTATCATGAAAGTCGATAAGGTCAGAATCGCATACACGAACTGCTACAACAGGACGAATATTGGAAAAGTTGGAACTTTTGGAACTATTAATTGGATCATTATTATATATATTTTCACTGTGTGAATAGTAGATAACCGTATTGTTGCATTTCTACATTCCTCTTGTTGTAAGCTCTCAGTGAACCTATCAGTCGTCATTATATCTTACTATTACCTTGGTTAATGCTAATTAATTATGTACTGTTTGCTCCATCCTCTATCACTTATGGTATAGTTGTATCTAGAGTATGATTTCTTATTCGATATCAATGTTTAAGTTTTTGTGCATGAAAGAACCGAGTATAACAGAGAAATAGTTTGCTTCCTATCTACGTTTTCTGATCGACTAATGGATTAGAAGCTCGAGGATGAATAAATGTTAAGGTCCTGGTTGTTACTCATTAGTTGTTGTGTTAGTAAGTACTTAGAAGGTCACCGGTCTTGCCGATGATATAGATGAACTAATCAATGATGAAAATTCCAATAGGGCAATAAATAACATGATATAGATCAGCATCTCAACACGGTGGCTCTGATGAAGATGTGAAGGAGCGAATTGGCAAAGCAAAAGCAGCATATCTAAAATTGAAGAACATCTGGAACTCAAAACAATTGTCAACCAATACCAAGACCAGAATTTTCAAAACGAATGTCAAGACAGTTCTGCTGTATGGGACGGAAACATGGAGAACTACGAAAGCCATCATCCAGAAGATACAAGTGTTTATTAACAGTTGTCTAAGCAAGGTACTTGGGGTCCGTTGGTCAGACACTAACAACAACAAACTACTGTGGCAGAGGACAAACGAGATTCCAGTGGAGAAAGAAATCAGGAAGAAGCGCTAGAAGTGGATAGGTCACACATTGAAGAAATCACTCGTGTCATATGGCAAGCCGTCACTTGGAGTTTTATTCTCTGATTTGGATCGTTTGGTCGTATAGGTATACCATTTTTATTTCGTTTTGATTAGCTATTCTCCATTTCAATGGACAGTTGATTGGAGGTCTGTATCTTAAATTTGTTGGTAGATACTTGTGGAGAAAATATAGTTGTTCTCGAATGGAAGCCTGCCCTTTGGTGAAATTCTCCCATTTTCGAACAACGAGTAGCGTTTTTGATGGAGTTTCGTTCTCTAAGCCGAATGGTTTGGTCGTGGAGCTTTCATCGTCCTTCTGAACGACATCATCAGTACAAACTTCAGGTAGACGTAGAGTGTTTGAATTTCTCCACATGTGGGTCACAGCTTGTCCCATACACCTCGATGTTGATTGGTTCTTGTTGATTTTAAATCTGTCATTGTTTGTTTCTTTGTTTTGATTGTATCTCCCATTGGTTTGATTTTTGTTCCTATGTTTCTGCAGAAACAGTTCCACGAACAAACAGTCCAGCTCAGAGAACAAAACTCCGTCAAAATCATCTACCTGAGCAACAAATCTTCTCCACCATCTCAACGAGAAGCGTATTATGCTCATGTAACTTTGAGATGGTGGAGAAGATTTATAGCTCAGGTGGATGATTTTGATGGAGTTTTATTATCTGACCAAACCATACAGCTCAAAAAACAAACCTTCACCAAAAAACTTATCAACTATGAAGCCATTGCAGAAAATCAAACTGGTTAACTGTCACCTGACACTGCGAAATGACTTGAACAGTATAATATCAATCACTGGATTATAAATGATTGACAAAATGATGCTGTATTGACTGTATTCCATGTGGTGTCTCTTTGTAAAGATATTCAGTTCTCAATGGTTTACTCATTTAAATTATTTGCCAAGTTTTAGGTGAATGTACATGGCCTACAGCTATATTGTTTGTATGAGGGTTAGTGATAGTACTCAAATGACAAAAATGAAGTAGACTTGTTGTTCTTTGAAATTCCACCTCCTTGTCGAAAGTCATCTACTATCAATATTAAACCACCGTTCCACGGTTTGTTAAATGATAGTAACTCATATATACATATATATAAAGTAACTTACAGAATGAATCATCTGGACTTATCATCAATTCTTCTTGAACTGTTTCACAAAGTCCAAGATACTTCAAGAAGTGTGTATCGGGAAAAAAACAAAAACACAAATTACATATTTCCGATAACAGTTTAAAGATAATTTTGTCCAACTAAAATTAATCTTCAATACGTACGACAAACTGAACAAGTTCCACCCATTTCATGTTTTTTTTTCACGAGTAATCATTCATATATTGATGACAAACTGGGGGTGGAATCCCTGTATTTTCAATAAGAAGATGTGATCACTGAAGTTTAACTAAATCAGAAGTAATGCATATAATACTCAATATTAAGAACTAACTAATGTTATATATTTGTATTTTCATAGTTGAAATCATGAGTCAATTGAAGCTTGACCACCATGGAAAATCTGGAAGCACTGGACTGCCGTTTCGTCCTATTATGGGACTCCTCGGCAGCGTGCATCCACGATCTCGCGTTCGCGAGATTCGAACCCAGGACCTACCAGTCTCGCGCCAGAGCACTTAACCGATAGACCATTGAGCCGGCATCTAACAATGTTTATGTAATAAGATTTCGACCATATGACCTTAATGTAATTTACTCATTCCAAGAATTGTAGGTTCTATTTCCAAACCTTATTAATATCGTCTATGCTGATTGTCAAAATCTCGTACTAGGACAAAACAACTATCTAATGCTTCTTTATATTCAAAAATGATTTAGATAAAATCAGTCTGTAATATAAATTACGAAACAACATAATTGTGATTGGCGACCTGCTAAACATTTGGGTTACCTGTTCCTGTCATTGAGATATTTTAAGAAGTTATGTAAGTTTGTTTTGATACATCATTATGGCTATTAACCACACGAACTATTCAGCTGCGTTTCTGAAATGTGTACAGCCTTTCGCTGTAAAGATTACAAAAGGTCAAATCACAGATATCGTGGTTGCTGGTAATATGCAGTGAAAAGGATGTACTTTATTTAGATGCTGACCGACTGTACTGATAACTTCTAACAGGCAATCACTCGATGTTTATCGTCAGGATCGACGAAGAAGTAAGATACGGATACTTGCTGAAATACTTTGTGCTGAGAATTCTATATTGTACTGAAAATATAATATTGAATAAAGCTAATACTATAGTGTGGTCTACTTATATGGTGATGGTCAGACATAGAATGTATTTTGGCAGAAGATCGATAAGGAAAGAACTGAAATGAAGTGCAATTGGTAGGAAAATATATAAACAATGAAATTAGAGAAGATGGATTGATATTTACAGAAGGAACAGTGAAGATTGAGACGATTGGTTGTTATTTTACAAATTAACTGTTCATTGTATGATTATCAGAATTTTGTGAAATGGTCTGTAATTTGTTCCTAAATACATTCGGTTGTTCCAGCTAATGTTTTTTTCACTACACTACTATTAAAAATAGTAAGTAGTAATAGTTTCTGCTGATATATATCTTGAACACAGTAATAAGGAATATATAGTACTTGGCTACTTCCAATCTATTACATAACTTTCCAGTCACCAACTATAAACAATCAAAATCTATAAGAAATTATATAACTAAAATAATCATTAAGATTGACAATAATTTTTTTTTTTCTATAACCAAGAACTTACTTGACATGGTTCATAAACACTCATATTAACAACAAAATCATGAACCAGCCCATCAAATGGTCCTTTAAAGAAGCGTTTACACTGAATATATAAGTAAATGGTAAAGATTAGGTTAATTTATGTCAGTAAAATTCAATAAATTGTGAGATATTCCAGTTATATATCATAATATATAATAAACAGAAAAGTTTATTCCATTGATAGGTACTTATATATTTTAATAGCTGAATTCATGAGTCGATGTGAGCTAAACCACCATTCAAAATCTGGAAACACTTGACGACCGTTTCGTCATAGTATCGAACTCCCCAACAGTGCACACCCACGACGCTACACCAAAGGGACTCGGACACAGGACCTTCGGTTTCAAGTGTGAACTCTTAACCTTAAGACTACTGAATGAGGATACAACGTTGTTACTGACTGACTTCAACCAATCTACGATATTGTAAGACGGTGCTCTATTGTATTCAGTGAGTAACTGCCTCACACCAGGTACAGTTGAATTCTAGTCGTTCCAAGTTTTCAATGATGATCTAACAGTGATACATTCATGATCTCTATCAAAATTTTGAAGCAGTTTTAAATTCTAATATAATAAAAATCATTTATCAGTGTTCTCACTTTTAGTCATGCTATTCATCATCTACCGACAGACACTATATAAAAGAGGTTGTTGAATATTTGATTGTCATGTTGTAATATCGTAACTTGTCAATTTGATCCAGTATCAAAATACACCATGTTTCTTTATTGTATTTTTTTAGTCTTTAAATGTGATCGAATTCTATCGCTTAACACTTAAATCTAGGCCAATATAATATGGAATTACAACGCAGTGATTAACTAACATGAATCCATTTTTGAATGTCTTTTAACTTTAGTAAATGGTTACTCAGTTTGTAGGGATTATAGGTTAGATGAGTTAACAATAAAAAGAAACAACAATTAGAAATAGCTAGAATTTAAAGAAACGCTACAGTTTTAGTAGTATATCCTTCTAAAATACATGAATCTTAACCAAAAACTTGAATGCTTGAATTTGCTAACTGAATGTTTAATTAAGAAGGATGTTTAAATAACCATGAATGAAAGTTCACATGGTTCAATATGTTCAATGTTAATTTATTGAAAGATGTCCACTCGAAATTATTCATCAATATGTATCATTCGTAGTTGAAATCATGAGTGAATTGAAGCTACACCACCATGGAAAACCTGGAAGCACTGCTTGACGGCCGTTTCGTCCTATTGTGAGAGCTCTCAGCATTGCGCATCTACGGTGCCGTCTCGGGAGATTCGAACCCAAGACCTACCACTCTCGTGCCAGAGCACTTAACCACTGGACCACTGAACCGGCCGGTATCCAACGGTGTTAATGTCTAACTTCAACCAATCCACGAAGTTTGAGCAACCGTTCACCAATTGTCTTCAGTGAGTTGTTATCTCACAACAGACGTGTTACCACTTAGAAAGCGCTAGAAAAACAATAACTCTCTCTAAATGTAGAACAATCAATGGTTAACGATATAATTTGATCATATCGTATATATCACAGACTTTGTGGTGTGTGCTATTGATGTCAACGGATATAAGTAGTGTGTATCACAATAGGAAAGTGGGATGCCTGGTGGTAGAAGGTTAAGAAGATCGAAAGGAAGAGGATAAGAATAGAGAGTGATTGGTGTGGAAACGAAGGAACTATGAAGTCTGAGACAACTGATTGACATTTTGCAAATTAAGTATTTATTATATGATTCTCAGATTTTACTAAGTAATTCTGTAATTTTGTATTCAAATAAGATCGGTTGAACTCGCTGTTGTTCTCGTTCATTACAGGCTTCACTGACGTAAGTTGTGAAAATGTAATTCATATAAACATTGATTACTTAGATTAATTGATACTATTCAGTAAAAGACAAAATAAGTAGTTGGAGTATAGTTTTGTAATTCTATCTTAGAAAATTAACTCCGCCTGCAGCTCCTCCTGCAGGGGCTACTGCCGGTCTCAAGCCCGGGTTGGGCATGGGGTTAGCGACCGTATCCCGTAGAAAAAATCAATCAAATCATTATAATATTAGAAAATTGAATCAAATAATTTTAACGCAAAAAGAAAACTGCAATATTTTACATCATCATCATCATCATCATCATCATCATCATCATCATCATCATCATCATCATCATCATCATCATCATCATCATCGTCATCATCATCATCATCATCATCATCATCATCATCATCATCATCATCATCATCATCATCATCATCATCATCATCATCATCATCATCATCATCATCATCATCATCATCATCATCATCATCATCATGATGATATACATTGAGAATAGAACCATAGAATAAGTGTAAAACGTACTTGAGCACGAGGTTGTTTATATGGAAAGAAATTACACAATATAGATAACAGTTCAGCTATAATCTTTCGTGTATAACTTTGTAGAAGCAACCATCGAATACCACGAACATTCATAACACATGTTTCACAAACTTGGATAAAAAATATATACAAAAGAATAAAGTACAGTATCATCTTTGAACCAATCACAACAACTACTTAAGACTCTTATAAAGTGTTAGCTAAAAGAAGGATGTCTTTAGTTTTCGGTAAAGTTTTCGATTAATAACCCATTGTTATAATATATGATTCATAGATTGAACATATTTTGTATTGAATATAAGATAGTTATGACGTATTGAAGACTCTTGGCTCAAATGAATACGTTCTATGTTGTTAATCACATTGAGCTAAACTGTTCAGCTATTGTTATATCCCGATAAGAATAATGAATGTTAACTTTTGGGATCCATTTGTTGACCACTACTATGCGTATATTTTTATTGTATAATTGCTAAGTAACTAAACTGTGTATATTCATGTTCCTCTCATTATAAGCTTTATTTTGATCCATAGACTATTATGATACAATTTACCATTCTTGAGTTGTATCTTGTCTATCATTTACAACCTGCCTTATTCACATCCATTTTTAGCTTAATCTTGTACAACACCGTTGGATACCGGCTCAGCGTTCTAGAGGTTAAGCGCTCACGTGCGAGACTGATAGGTCCTGGGTTCGAATCTCATGAGGTGGGACCGCAGGTGCACAATGCTATGGAGTCCAACAATAGGACGAAATTGCCGTCCAGTGCTTCCAGGTTTTTCATGGTGGTCTAGCTTCAATTGATTCATGATCTCAACTGTTAAAATTACTATAATATCCACAAAACCCTTTTCTTTGTACAGATGTTGTTTTCCTATTTTGTGGTATAATGTGGTCTGTCTGTTTCGTATATAAACCCAGTATGTTTGAAATATATGAATCATATTGTAGAGGCTGTTATTGATGCTCTGAACTTAATAGTTATGAAGCTTTCATTATCATTCTGGACAACATAAACATAGTTCACCTTATCTAAATCTATTATCTATCACAAGTTTCAACTTACTTAATTGACAGTGTAATTCTTCAAATTCATTTATAGAACTCTAAAATTTAAATAAAAGTTTAAGATGAAGTCTGAATATAGTCACCTTTTGATTTTCATGCAATTTCCAAAAATAAAAAAGGTTATAGATCAAATGAGTTTAGATGATCATAACTTGATCCTTCTTTTTCTAAAAGTGGATTGCTTTTTTCCTTAGGAAGCACTTCTTTATAGTTAAGAATCAGTTTTACATTTAAGAATTCAAATGATAGAGAGGAAGGATATTCGAGGTGTTATATTCTATAAGCTGAACCATCAAGTTTAGAGAATACAACACTTTCAGGAATAATTCAAATATGCTATAATAATACTTATTTACATATTTAATGTAAATGAATGCTTCGCGAGATTAGAACCCAGGACCTATCAGTCTCACGAGGCGGGATAGTGGATGCGCACTGGTGAGGAATCTCATAGTAGAACAAAACGGTCATCTACTGCTTCCAGGTTTTCCATTGTGGTCTAGCTTCAATTGACTCCTGATTTCATCTATGAATATATATATATATACTATTTAACCAAAGAAATCTTTAAATCATTGAATGAGTACATTACTTTTCAAATCACTTATCTAACCGCCAACGACTAACCACAGATCTCACAACTTATAATCAAACACCAAAAAAAAAGAAAAAAAAGGAAAAAAAAACCATATCATTATTATATACATAATAATACATACCTTAATAGATTCTCCAAAAACTGTACTCTTCAGACCTAAACAACCATTATTGATTAGTATAAAAGAAAACAAACAAACAAGCAAACAAAAATGATTAACTATCTTACCCAATAGAAACATGATGAGAAAGATTTTAGCTATCATTATCTCAAGTCGGTGTCTCCTTCAGAAACTCCTATCCTGCAAGAAAAAACCAAAAAAAAAAACAACTTCCTCCAAGTATCTATGATAGTTCAACTAATAATCAACCGTTGTTTCAATCTTTTTATCTGAAATGATTAGACTGAACTAATACCTAACATAATAGTAATAATAGTAATAATAATAGTAATGGTAATAGTAATGGTAATAATAATAATAATAATGATTGAAATACTTTGATCTAAGTATTTTCGATTGTGATCTATCTTGAACAGGTTCATTTAAACGATCCAAAAAAAAACGGTTATCAAATTATCTAATCATTCTATGGATGTATCAAAGTTAATATTGATAGTGTTATATAAAACTATTGGATAATCATTATTGATATGAATTTTAAAAAATGAGTTAAAACAAATTGGTCAATGTTCAATATTCATTATTCTAATTGAGTTATTCAATATTTTATTTTATTTTTAATTAAATAGTATATAAATTGAAATGATTAAAGGAAGTAGGTCTAGTGAGACAGGATCGTGGATATGAACTGGTTAGGAGTTCCACAATAGAACGAAACAGCTGTCCAGTGTTACTAGGTTTTGCATGGTGATCTAATTTCAAATGACTAATAATTTTAACTATTGAAATGATTGAAATCTCCACAAAAAACCCTTTTAAAGTATAAACAATTAGCTCTATTTGATAAATTTTGATAATGCAATAAGAAGACAAAGGTTATCAGGATTATATGATATTGATGAATTTGTTGAATTTAGATATTAACACCGTTGGATACCAGCTTAGTAGTCTAGGGACTAAGCGTTCGTACGCGAGATCGATAGATCTTGAGTTCGAATCCCTTGGGGCGGGATCGTGGATGCACACTGCTGAGGATTCCTATACTAGGTCAAAACGACAGTCGGGTGCTCCCAGGTTTTCCATGGTGGTTTGGCTTTAATTGACTCATGAATTAAACTAATAAATTATGTGGTATATTTACGCAATACATTTCGAACAACCTTATCACACATAATATACGTGTTAAGACAATGTTATACGAATAAAAGACCAATTAGACAAATTAAAAGGTATGCTAAAACAAAGGTAATAATGATAAAGTACACAAAAAACAATGTGAAAACCACAATAGTAAATCAAGATTACCCAGGGTAGGTTAAGGGTAAGAACAAATTGTTTTTTGAACACATAAAGGGGGTTTCAGTTTTTGTATGGCCAAAGCTTCAATAAACTTTAGTATACGCTGTTGAAGACCTTTGTACAACACTACAAATGCTGATTTGATGTCAACCTTATGACCAGTTTCAACCAAATGTTTCGCAATAGAGGAACATGTTTGTCTATCCTGTGATCTTATTTGACCATTGGAATTCATTTGTATTTACAGCCATTTAGGCATGTATTTAGCTACTCTAACTTTCAGATCATGACTTCTCCTCCGTATGTACGTGTTTTCGAACATATATGTAAATTGTTAGACTCATTGGGATGTGGCGCAATCGCTTACGTACTGTTTCAGTTTTTGGTGAAACATAGACAAGTTGGGCTTCATAAAATGTCCCGCTGATGGCTAATTTAAGTCGTCGTTTCAATATGAGACTAAATGAGTTTCCTCCAAATGGTAACAGAATGTGAACTCAGTTTTCGGGCGCCAAAAGTGTCATAGATCTAATAGTAATCCAACCCTCTCAGTGGTTTGTAAACTTCAATGAATAACGATTATTCATTGATTTTTCAGTCAAGAGCTACGTCTCTACTTCAATAGTATCTCTGGTACAAATATGACTGATTCTATTGAATAAGCCCTTTATTAATCCATGTTTGAAATGAATTGGACAGTGACTATGGAGATGAAGATATTACCTATTACATGTTGTCTTTCTATATACAGAATGTTTTGATGGAACCATCATTTCTCCTACTTATCAGTATATCTAAAATAGGGAGTTGGTTATTCTTCCCTTTTGGAGAAGAATGATACGTCTAAGCACGAAAGAACTACCGGGGCTCAATAGCTGTTTTTGCATTGCTTAGGCAGAATCATTACATCTTTATCTTTTTTCATGTATTGTTTTTTCTTGAGCAGATCTTTCTTTCTTTTTTGGGGCACACTCATTTATTCTTTCTTTTTGAACCATTAGTAATTGTGCAATGATTCTTTGTAGCCTTCGTAATCATTTGTGGGTATAGGTAGAGTGGATGATTAGGCCGATCTCCACCACCCGGGTTGCCGCTCATGTTAGTTCATGGAAACAATACCATTATCCAGGAGGCACAACGAGGACGTGTGGGTCGGGTTTCGCCTTCCTTCACTATTTTTTACTAATAATAAATCTTTATTAGCTGATGAAATACTGAAATGACTGAGGTGACAAACTATCATAGATGTTAGAAGATCATACAACCGGATAACTGGATGAAAGTGTATCTGTATATTAGGAACTTAAAACTATTATTTGTTTTTTTAATGTTGAATTATATGGGTATAATGATAAATTGTCTATCAGACAATGATGATGAATGAAACATAAGAATGAATAAGGCATCAGACAGTACTATTATTTTTTAGAACTATAATGAAATCGTCCAACTCAAGGCTTTCAACATAACGAATAGTAATGGTTGTTTACTAATGAACACTTGAACAATGATCATTAATGCTAATACTGATTCATGACATCAACCAAGCGGTAATTAAGGAATTCTGTCGATCTACTCCGTATTAATACTTCCTCATAACAGTAGACAATAGTATAGAAGGTGATGTCTTATATAAATGTAATTAAATAGTAATCAAAGTTTTTGTTAGTTGACTAGATGTTTAGTTCAAGGGAATTATTCAAGTCCTGTGTTGTCAAGATTATTAGCAATGTGGTGTATGTATGTCACTGATTTATCCTCCATTGTATTGTCCGTTCATGAAAAGGAGGCACTTTCCTTGGGTTTCAATTTTTCTGTCCCTATTACACAAATCTCTGAATTGACAATCAATGCCCAATTCGGAAACCTTTATGATCAATTGAGTACTTTATCCCCCTCATCCTCAAAGAATCAAAGTTGATTTAAAGCTAAATTAGTGAATATAGCGCATAAGTTTCACTTCTTTGGACCGAAGCAGAGAAGCATACTAACTTCTCAGTACTTCAAATCCTTAAAAAAATTGCGAAACAATGCCGACATTGTTATACTTAAACCCGATAAAGGATCTGGTGTTGTAATTATGAATAAGTCCGATTACATAAATAAAATGGAATTGATTCTCAGTGATAAGAGCAAATTCATGACTGATGTTGACTCTGATGGACTACATAAATTAGAAAAGAAAGTAAACTCGAATCTAACAAAATTGTTAAACATGAACGCTATTAACAAGGATGAGTTTAATTTATTCAAACCTATGGGTTCGGTGTATCCTCATTTATATGGATTGCCAAAAATACATAAGCCTAATATCCCTTTACGTGCAATTCTATCAATGTGTCGGTCACCTACACACAAACTTCCGAAATGGCTTATAAAAGTATTAAATCCTATCTGACATCTATTTTGTAAGTATTCCTTGATTGACTCATTTGATTTAATTAAATACTTAAAGGATATGAATATAAAAACAAAGACAATGTGTTCTTTTGATGTGAATACTTTATTTACAAATGTACCCCTGAGAAAAACTATTGATATTTTATGTGACTATATTTCACTTAACAACCTTCCATTGACATTTCCTGTTGAAACTCTTAAAGATTTATTATTATTGTGCACTGACAATGTAAAATTCACATTTCAAGGTGAGCACTTTCGACAAATTGATGGTGTAGCTATGGGTAGTCATTTAGGATCGTTGCCGGCGGATGTGTTTATTGGGCATGTTGAAAATTTAGCTGAAAGCTCAATTCAAAAGATGTGTCTGTATAGACGATACGTTGATGACATCATAATTATAGGGGATAAATGTGAAGACGTGAACCACTTGTTAAAAGAACTCAATACAAGTCAGAAGTATATTTCTCTTACGTGCGAAGAAGAGAAGAATAACAAACTTCCTTTTCTAGATTTACTGATCAGTAGGAAAGAAGATGGTTCCATCCAACGTTCTATATATAGAAAGCCGACATGGACGGGGCATTATCTTAATTTCCATAGTCACTGCCCAATTCATTACAAACGCGGTTTAATAAAGCGCTTATTCAATAGAACCAATCGTATTTGTACTAGTGATACTATTGAAGTAGAAACGAAGCTTTTAACTAATACGTTAATGAATAATGGTTATTCATTTAAGTTCATAAACTACTGAGAGGGTTGAAATACTATTAGACCTATGACGCTTCTGTCACCCAAAAAGCGAGTCTATATTACATTACCATTTATGAGTAACTCTAATAGTCGCATGTTAAGACGGAGACTAAAATTAGCCATAAACAGGACATCTTATGCAGCTCAACTCGTCATCATTGAAAAGACAAGGTCGACGTTTCACCAAAAACCTAGACAGCACATAAGCGATTGTGTCACATCCCATTGTGTATACCAATTTACATGTATGTGCGGTAACACGTACATAGGGGGGAGCAATCATGATTTGCAAATAAGGGTGGCGGAACACATACCTAAATGGCTGCAGAAACAAATGAATTCCAATAATCAAATAAGATCACAGGATAGACAAAAATCTTCCTCCATTGCGAAACATTTAGTTGAAACTGGTCATAAGGTTGACATCAAATCAGCATTTGTAGTGTTGTACAAAAGCCTTGAAGGACGTATACTAAAGTTTATTGAAGCCTTGGCTATACAGAAATTGAAACCCCCTTTATATGTTCAAAAAACAATTTGTTCTTACCTTTAACCTACCCTGGTAATGCTTATTTATTATCCAGAGTAGTCATCACATTGTTTTTGTGTACTTTATTTATTTTCTTACCTTAACCTGTCTAGTTGACCTTTTAATTTTCATATAAAAAAATGTCTTAACAAGTATATGTGTGATCAGATTGTTCGAAATGTATTTCGCTAATATATCACATAATTCTGATAAACTTCGTCTTCTCATTGCATTATCGAAATTTATCAAAGGGACTAATTGTTTTAAAATATGTGGTATAGGCTACTTATATCCGCATAAGTAGTATACAACGATAATCAAGAATAGAATGTATTTCAGTAGAAGATTGAGAAAGAAAGAAGGGTCACAGAGAGCAATTGACATAAAAATGTAAGAACAATGAAATCTGAGACGATTGATTGATATTTGCAAAAGGAACAGTCAACGTTTGAGATAATTGGTTGACATTTTGCAAATAAAGTGTTGACTGTATGGTTCTCAGAGTTTACTAAGATGTTCTGTAATGTTGGGTTCAAAAACATTGGATTATTCAAACTTGTGCTCATGTTCAGTACAGAAATAGTTAGTAAAGATAATGAATGATAAGCTTATATATATATGTACTATTCTGATTTCTTGGAATGTGATCATTGGACATGGATTGGTTTAGTACATTTGCTTACATGAATAAGTGATGTTGAATGAAATTCATTTATCGTGAGTATATTGACTCTAACAACATACATCTAGGTTTGTCAACTGAATACTTAAAAGAATTATTGTTACGTTGTACCTTTAATGTCAAGTTCAGTTTCAACAATGAAATATATAAACAATGAGATAGAATCGCAATGGGGTCTCCTTTAGTTTCAATTATATCAGACTGTTTCATTGCAAAACTAGAAAACGACCAATTCAGTTTAATGATCAATCAATTTCACCTAGACGTAAGATACATGGACGACACATTTATCGTTTGTGACGTTAATATTGATTTAGAGGATATCTTATACACCTTTAACTCATGCCAACTTTCCATAGACTTCACAGTAGAAAGGGGGCGAGACCAATCAATCCTTTTTCTAGATGTATCTCCGATGAGAAGAAGTAATGGTTTCTTAAGAAGATCTATCTTTAGAAAACAAACGTGGAATGGCCAACTAACCAACTTCTATAGCTGGGTTCCGTGAAGTAGAAAGAGAAACCTCATTCATTCTTTATGTTATCATATACATCGGATATGCAGTACGGAATGCATTAACGAAGAACTCGCATTCCTCAAGAAAACCTTGGTGAAAAATGGCCACCCAGACCGTTTCATAGAGAAGAATATGAATTTAAAGGCGATCGAACATCAGATCTAATGAAAAATAATCTAAAAACAACTATTAAAAGAACATTTAATGCGGATAAACTGCGAGTAACCTTCACTAGTAGTAACTTATTTTCTGTATCCATAAAAGATAAGCTTCCTTGTCTGGTCGCCTCTATGTGCATCTACCAGTTCACCTGCTCTTGTGGAGCAAGGTACATTGGCCATAGCCAGCGCTCGCTTATAACTCGGATGCGAGAACATATCCCAGTTTGATTAGTTTAAGGCAATAAAACTTCCTACTAGTTGGTATTCACCATTAAAGTATATTGTGATTCCTGTGTTAGCACATGCTCTTCATAAAATCAAAGTCTGTCTCAACGAATTTCTCAGTTAAAGAGATAGTTATGAAAAATTTCCACAATATATGAACGAATTGGTTTTAAAACCGATTTTTCAACATATAAATAATACAACAACGCTAGACCATCATTGAAAATGTGGAAGCACTCAACGGTCATTTCGTCATAGTATTGGACTCCCCAACAGTGCATAAAACGATCCTACACCAAAGGGACTCGGACCCAGGACTTCTGGTCCCGCATGTGGACACCAAACTCTAAACCACTGAGCCGTCCGGCATCCAATGGCGTTAATGTCTAACTTCAACCAATTCAAGATATTGCACGACTATTCTTCATTGTATTCAGCAAGTAACTGTCTCACAACAGACACAGTTGAACTACACTGGTTATGACTTCTCACTAGAACTCCAGGAAATCCATCTTGAAGCTAGTCACTAGTGAGCATGTGATAATTATCAGTAAAGGGTTATGGAGATTGTGGATAGGTGGAAGTTAGACATTAACGCCGTTGGATGCCAGCTCAGTCGTCTAGAGGTTAGGCGACCGCGCACAAGAACAGTGGTTCGGGTTCGAGCCTCACTCGCAGGATCATGGATGCGCACTGCTGAGTCCCATACTAGGACGAAACGATCGTTCAATGCTTTCAGATTTTTCATGGTAGTCTAACTTTCATTGGCTCATAAATTCAACTAATAAAATCAGTTTGTCTAACCAATTAAAATCTGTTTGTTAGGCGTAATTCTTAGATATCATATATATATATATATATTATAAACTGTCCAGCTGGAGTTTTCATTGTAATCAGCTTTTATTATTCTATTTTATAATTAAAACGATATCTTAGTCCCCCCCTCTCCCCCCATATTACATTTGGTTCAATTTATTGCTGTCGTATGTTGATTTTGAAAAAGTCAATTTAAGATTTTCATTCCTATTACACAAGTGGTATTCATAACCGTTTAGTCGAATTTTCCAGTTTATAAAATGTATTTTATTCTTTCATCTTGACGAAGTCTCCTAGCAGAAAGCTTCTTGAATCATATTGATGACTTAAATATATGAAAGCTATGCAAATGAAGTTTAAAAATAACTTTCATACTACGTCTACGTTTAACATAACTTACTTTCTTTCGCCTGTTACTCCCGATGGAGCATAGGCCGCCGACCACCATTCTCCAACCCACTCTGTCCTGGGCCTTCTTTTCTAGTTCTATCCAGTTCTTGTTCATTCTTCTCATGTCTGTCTCTATTTCTCGGCGTAACGTGTTCTTTGGTCTTCCTCTTCTCCTTTGACCTTCAGGATTCCATGTGAGGGCTTGTCTTGTGACGCAATTGGGTGATTTCTTCAATGTATGTCCTATCCACTTCCAGCGTTTCTTCCTGATTTCTTCCTCCGCTAGAATCTGGATTGTTCCCTCCCATAGTAGACTGTTGCTGATAGTGTCTGGCCAACGAATCAGAAATATTTGCCTAGACAACTGCTAATAAACACTTGTATCTTCTGGATAATGGCTTTCGTAGTTCTCCACGTCTCCGCCCCATACAATAGAACTGTCTTGACATTTGTATTGAAAATTCTAACCTTGGTGTTGGTTGACAATTGTTTTGAGCTCCAGATGTTTTTCAGTTGTAAGCATGCTGCTCTTGCTTTGCCGATCCTCGCCCTCACATCTGCATCTGATCCACCCTGTTCATCAATGATGCTGCCCAGATATGTAAAGGTTTCCACATCCTCCAAAGCTTCTCCGTCAAGTGTAATTCGATTAGTGCATGTTGTATTGTATCGGAGAGTCTTGCTTTTCTCTTTGTTTATATTGAGACCTACTGCTGCTGAGGCTGCTGCTACACTGGTCGTTTTCTCCTGCATTTGTTGTTGCGTTTGTGATAGAAGATCCAGATCATCTTAGCAGTCTAGATCATCAAGCTGCATCCTACCTGTCCATTGTATCCTGTGCTTCCCTCCAGATGTTGATGTCTTCATGATCCAGTCGATCATCAGAAGATAGTAAAAGGGTGAGAGTAAGCAACCTTGCCTAACACCGGTCGGTGAGTTGTCCTCCGAGGACGATTTGGCAGTTTAGTCCATCATAGGAGTTCCGTATGATATTGACTATTTTCTCAGGCACGCCGTAATGTCGGAGAAGCCTCCATAGTGTTGTCCTGTCCACGCTATCAAATGCCTTCTCGTAGTCGATGAAGTTGATGTAGAGTGATGAATTCCATTCGATTGATTGTTCCACAATGATACGTAGAGTTGCGATTTGATCTACATAACTTAATATCGAATATAACTAGTCTCTATAATCATTTCAAAATTATCAAAACGGTTTAGTAATCATCAGTAGAATTCCTAGTTTCGTCAATATCTTTTGAATGTAATTTCAGTATATCAATCTCTTGCTATGTCACCATGTTATCACAACTATCTACACTTATTTTTTCTATTCTTGAAAATGTGATTATTTATTTATTTATTCAAACACATAAATATTGGTACAGGGAAGCACTATATATATATATATATATATATATATATATATATATATATATATATATATGCGCCCTCACACAAATCTCATTTGATTTGTGTGAGGGCTACGATACTGCCCAGGTGCCCAAACTGAAGCAGGTGGTTTTCTTAGGGGACCACACACGGAGCCTTTGACCTAAAGATCTGATCCACAAGGCAGTGGAGAATCGTGAGGAGATGCAGTCCCATGGTAGCCGGTGACCAACAATTGATTCATACGCCATTTGTCTCCTCAGGATACTGGAGTCCATGTGGACCATTGGTTTGGAATCAGGGTTTTCCAACTCCCCTAGGTGGACTTTCCGTGTCCAGCAACTCGCTTAAAGCGCCAGACATTCGCTTTAGGTCCTCTCAATTTCGTAAACAACACGAGAAGGCAATGAGTGGGACATCCTTGGCAGATGCTATATATGCGTGGTCATGTGAGAGCATTTGGAGAGGGAGAGCGGACCCTTCCCACTCTCGGCCGTACCAGGGCATTTGAAGGCTGAATAAGGATTCCCATGAAATAGAAAAAGAATAGATTTAAGTAATTGTCAGTACTTTGAAGTGTATTTTTAAAAAAAATTCCATCATTTCAAAAGATTTATCTTCTTGTTGTATGAACTCAACAGGATGAAAATGATCTAAGTAGACATGTTGTTATCTGAAATGAAAATATAATAACGTTAAACATACTTAAATTGTAATCATTAGTAATTAATATTTATTATCAATCTTCATAGATGACATTGAAGATTTGGCCAAACTTGAGTTACGAGAAATCTTGTTTGATCTAGGTCCCATGTTACTTGTAAATGTCAAGATGGTATACCAGTAAACTTTATGGAACTAGTGCTTTAACATCAAAACATGGTATAAAGTCATTTAGAGTAGTAGACATATTATAACTTGACCCACAAAATCCAATTACCATCAACTAATGGACAAACATGGCATAAATTAACACTCAGTAACAATACAGCTCAGGGAGATACGGGTTCATACTACATAGGAAGGCATCAGTCCCTTCAATGTTGTGGATACGCCTTTTTGATGAGTAAAAAACCAACACGAAACGTATATTGGAAATCGTTTCTTGCTGTACGTTAACAACCACTTATAAAGCTGATAAACTATAATGCAGCCATTTCAAATTACGTCCAAAAGTCTCAACACTATACATTCAAGCACATACTTCTAATCTTTATGTTATAAACGTATGTATGCCGTCGCCAAGTGTTATAAACGTAGAGAGAGAGAAAGGATGCTGGTTATAACTTTAGGGGTTTCTGGTTATAACAGTCCTTTTACTTTTTACACGTATGTGGGACGTTAATTTATCTTAGACGAATATCTACACTAGATTCCCACCCAGTGTCTATTCTACAGGACTTCAACAGAACTCAGATCAAGAACACCAGATTAGCCTGACTATGACGTCAATATATTTCACACCAAAATCCGACACATGGAACAGTCAATAATTCATACATAATAAGGATAGGGAAATATATATATAACACATAACACCTGTCATCCCCTCTAATGTCTGACTCATCGAGACAACCAATCATTGACATTCTCGCCCACACATCACTTTACTATATTCAATAAATCTATACCTAACAATTTGTTCAGTAACTACTAAAAAGCACGGGATAAACCCAAGGGGTTTTCATTATTGTTTTAAACTTAATGTTTAGCTGGCATAGAGACTTATTGGCTTGAATGATTTTTTCTTGACAATCTGACTCTTTTAATATACAATTGTTAGCGGGACATAGATTGGTTTAAAGCATGTCACATGCACGATTGTGTTGCTGCACGCTGATTGACTAATCCTTATCCAATCAGTTCTAGCCGATGCTTGGAGAAGACTCGAGAATCTTCTCATGTAAAATCTATAAATATACTGATATATTTCTTACTGCGCTTCTTACTTCCGTCTATCCTTGTTAATTGGAATATAATTATTCTCCTATTCAACTGTGTTGTGATTTGGGGACTTGTCGAGTGTATTGGTATCCATGATTACTAAGCAATAGGAATAGCTGGGTCGTAATAAGGAGTACATAATAAACAGTTATAACAACAACTCTGGTGTATCTTCGGAATAGTCAATGATCTAAGCCTTAGTAACCCAGCTTTCATCAGACAACGTAAAATAAAGAGTCAAATGCATAGTTTTATGAGAAAGTGAATTTGATATGACAAGTAAATTTGTAAGTAAAACTCAAGCTAACAAGCAAGTATATGATTTAAGACAAGAGAGATATCAATCAGTCGCTGTATAACTTACAAGTCAAAGTTTTCTGAAAGCTTGGGCATGGAATTGTACTACTACATAATCCAAGATGCTACAATTGAATATGTAATGAAAATGTAATCATGTGATGAGATTAGAAATAATTAAGATTATAATAAACATTACTGAAATAAAGCTTGTCTCAAGTTCGATATATTGTAATGCCATGCTTCGTTAACCGTTCACCTTGATAACCGTTATAATACCAATCTTAATGGTGCATAAAATCAGAAGGCAAATAGAAGCGGAAACTACAGTCCATTGTCAAATGACACCGACCAGAAATTTACAAGCATATGAGCGAATATTAGCAAGCAGCGAGAGAGTATCGAGCATCATCATCAGCACAAACTTCGGGTAGAAGTGATGTGTTTGAATTTCTCCAAATGTGATTCACCTACCTGAGCTACAAATCTTCACCATCTCAGTATCGAGCATCAAACAATTACATAGGCAATTTATACTCAAATTTAATAAGGGCACAGCAAAACACAGCAAAAGCTGATAATAGGATTTGTGTGATTACATATATGGGGGAGGAGGATGAATCATCGAATGATACTTAAGCAATCAACATTTTGGCTAGAGTGTCATGTACTCTGGTAGTCATAATAGCACAAAGAATATGCAAATTGAATTCACTTAGTATTGTTTGTTTGGATCTTCCCATCGATGTGTTTAGGACTGCAACTGGTCAGTCTCTAATTGGCATATGTGCATACTGTGCGTATTGCCTCGCTATACCTTAATTCACAAGAATGGTAAGCAGAGATGGATAGTGGCTAGCAGTGGAATCCAGGACGCGCGTGGCCTCAGTGGACTCAGTGGCCGAGTGGATAACGCGATGGCGTTTGAAGCGAGGGTACTGGGTTCGAGTCCCAGAGAGAACATCAACTCTGAGATGCAGGTACATCCAGCTGACGAGTCCCGAATAGGACGAAACGCGCGTCCTGGATTCCACTGCTAGCCACTATCCATCTCTGCTTAATATGCAAATTGTTATTATCCAAGTAACGATGTCTGTTAAGTAAGTTAATAAAAAGGGCTTAACCAAAATAAACTATACTCAAAATCGATTGTACGATGGTTGCTATATTATAAACATATGTAATAATATAATTTACTGGGTTGACTTAGTGTAGATTTTGGTGCCCAAATAACTAAACAGCAGTAATCTTCCAACTTGAAACTCGATGGATTAAAACTGATTATCCTAACCAATAAGATGGTTTCTTGAAATAATTAACAAATGTGGTACATTACCTATAACTCCGCCTGTAGCTTCTCTGGGAGCTACTGCTGGTCCCAAGCCCGGGTAAAGGAGGAGGGTTGGGCATGGGGTTAGCGACCCCACTCCGTAGAAAATCAACTCGCTAAAAAAACGCTAACCAGAAAAAAACATTACCTATACTTAATTTTACAGAGACTATGGTTATAAATCATCTCTGGTCTAACATATAAAGTAGAAGAAAATTTCGATAAATTCCCCTTTTTCCTGCCATAATCACTCTGAAACCTTTTCGTCAGTTGTGTAATCTTATCTACATTCATTCACTAACATTATTGATCATTTAATTGTGTATTCTGTTATTTTGATCATAATGATACCAAGCTAGAGATGTTGTAGTGCCGTGCTTCGTTAATCGTTCACCTTGATAACCATTATAATACAAATCTTAACGGTGCATAAAATCAGAAGGTAAAGAGAAGCGGCAGCTACACTTTTTGTTGACTAATAACACAGGTCAGAAATCTTTAAGCACATGAGCAAATATCAGCGAGCAAGCGAAAGTAACGCTTATTGGAGATGGCGGGTAAGCCAACTCACTTTAATCAAGTGTCAATCAATATTTATAGTCAGACAAGAATAAATGACAGACATGTGATAAATAGGATAAGAAGTGTAAACACACCTACGCTCATATAAAAACAATAGTCAAGATTAATAAGTGAATAATTAACAAGGTGAAAACATGACTCAAGATAGATAGGTGAATTGGCTTGTCCAGAAGTTAGAATAAGGTACATGGGTTTAACATATCAACCGACACTACAATGTAAACCTCTAGTTATCAACTTGATGGTTTACACGAGACTTGAATGCTATTGAGTTATATCCTCTTTGCTGGGGTTTTTGATGTAAACCACTGAAGAGCCCCACTCTAGGATGAAATAACTGTCTAGTCCTTGTTGATTTTCAATAATAGTCTAACTAAAACCGATTCCTGATATAAACCATTAAAACACTGAACAATATCTACAAGACTAAAAGGAAATGAAACCGTTGTTAGTCAGTATCACTGATATTAAGTATAGAGAAAAAAAGTGTTTACTTACAAAACAAAAATTGTTTTCATTAATTGTATTCACTAATTCATGAATTAGATCCACGGCACCACCGTTCACAAAGTGATAACACTACACCAATTGAAATTAACGCATATCATATGATGAGACATAAAACAATGAATACGCTTTAATAATAAAGTAATATTGAAATAGGTTTAAGTTTAGGCATCAGTTGTGCAACAAGACCTTCTTTGATTTAAATATTGTGTCAAGTTGTCATTGAGTTAAAAGCTTCATCTACGATCTAAAGGGAATTAATGTTGCATGTGGTGTATTGAACGAGAACACATGTGGAAACAATCGAAAGTATGTGAACACCAAATTACAGAACATCTTAGTAAAATCTGAGAATCATACAGTAAACACTTCATTTACAAAATGTCAACTAGTTGTCTCAAACGTTGAGTGTCTCTTTTGCAAATAATAATCAATCGTCTCAGAATTCATTGTTTTTTTTTAATTCCATACCAATCATTTTTTGTTCTTGTTCTCATTTCTTTGATCTTCCTTACTTTCTGTCATCAGAGATTCCACTTTCGATTGATGATACATTTTACTTACATCCGTCAACATCAGTAGCATACATCACAGGACGACTCAACACATCGACTACAAATTTTGACAGAAAGCATAGTTTCATACAGGAGAATATTTTATTTGTGGTCTATTAAAAATGAACAGATGGACTCGATAAAATTCCTGACTATTTTCGTTGTTATTTTTCTTCACAATAAACCTCGACATTTCCAGGTCTTATATTATTTCTATTGGTATTCTTTAACGACTAAACCAGTCTCCAATGATTATGCATTTTAGTAGAGCTATTCTAAAATTGTAGATTTCGCATCACAGACTAACCTAATTAAGTTGGAAATTAATGACCAGGAATCATCTGATGACCGTTTCGCCATAGTATGGGGGCTCCTCAATAGTACATGTCCCCTACCTGGCAAAATCTCGAGCTGAGGATCCTCAGGTCCTATGGCAAGTGTTTAACCTTTGCAGTTAGAAATTCAAATCATTGACTATTAACTCAATCAATTAAAGGTTAAATACCTGATGTCAGATTTTATGTTTCTGAGTTCGACACACTATGATTGGGTTGTGGGTGTTCACTACTAAAAAGTCCCATACTAGAACAAAACAACTGTCAAATGTTTCCTAACTTTCCACAATGGTTTAATTAAAGTCAGTTCAATACATTAGTATTGAAATTCGGCAATCTCCACAGATCCCCTGTAACTAATATTCTCAAATAATTTCATATTGTGAATGTAACATTATGAAGTAAAGCCGAACTTAGAGATGGTTTGTTCATATACATTAACCATTAGAAAAAAAGAATCCAAATTTATTTGATTAAAACATACGATTTTCCGATATTGTAATTTTGGTAACATATAACAAATTGGCATAAAATTCTTAAGTATTTCCGGTATAAATGGTTCATTATCCAATATGAACTTAGTAGCATTTACTGTTGAAGTACAAAGTTCACAAACTAAAGAAAGGGGGATATTAATAAAACGTTTGAATAGTTTATACGAAAATGAAATAGACTATTTGTAAAATTGAACCCTGCCCTGTAACTGTTCTAGAGTTACTATCGGTCATAAGCACGGGTAAAGGAGGAGGGTTGGGCATTGGCTCGGCAACACCATGCTGTAGAAAATAACATTGCTAACAAAACGCCAATCAGATATGTAAAATAGGGAAACATTGAAATTGCTTAACCCAATCAAAATTAAACGCTTTTCTATTACTTATAAGTCGATAGACAACCAGTGTATTTTGCAAAGGGTTATTTATTATGTTAACAGACTTTTTTATAGTGATTTTAACATTTCATGTTTTTAATTTTTTTATTATTTAAACACATAAATATTGGTACAAGAAATCACCAGATACATATGCGCCACACAAATCGAATGAGATTTGTGTGAGGGCTGTGATACTGCTCAGGTGCCCAAACTGAAGCAGGTGGTTTTCTTAAGGGACCACGCCCCGAGTCTTTGACCTAAAGATGTGATCCACAAGGCAGTGGAGCATCGTGAGGAGATACAGTCCCATGGTAGCCGGTGACCAACAATTGATTCATGCTCCATTGGTTTCCTCAAAATACTGGATCCCATGTGCACCATTGGTTTGGAATCAGGGTTTTCCAACTCCCCTAGGTTGACTTTTCACATCCACCAACCCGGTTAAAGCGCAGGACATTCGCTTTTCTTCTCTCGATTTCGTGAACAACACCCCTGTCACGAGAAGGCAGAGAGTCGGACTTCCCTAACAGAGGCTTTATAAGCGTGGCCATGTGAGAGCATTTGGAGAGGGAGAGCGAACTCTTCCCACTCTCGGCCGTACCAGGGCATTTCAACATTTCCTGTTGTGTAAATTGAAGTAATCTTATTTAATTTGTGCTATAACTATCGGTTTTCTTCGTCTGACACGAGTTGGATGTTAATTTGCCTTAGACGAATATCTACACTAGATATTCTCCCAGTGTCTATTCTACAGAACTTCAACACAACTTAGATCAAGAACACGTGACTAGCCTGACTAGAACCAAAAACCAACAACAATCACAAGAATAATAAGGGAAAGAGAATATATAACATATCTAGTATCTGTCAAACCATTTACTAGTCTGATTAGACAAAAAACCAATGATTCTCGCCCATACACCAACTTGTTTACTTTTATGAATGTTTACTTATTTTCAAACTAGATTTTAAATCAGCTTTCGTGCGCGAGATCGATAGTTCTTGGGTTCGAATCCCGCGGACAGGATCGTGGATGCATACTGCTAAGGAGTCCCATACTAGAACGAAGAGGCCGTTTAGTGCTTCCAGATTTTTCATGGTGGTCTAACTTTAATTGACTCATGAATTCAACTATTAAATTTTAGTTAATATGAAAAGCCGAACATAAGTAAACGTTACAAATTTATAAAATAATATCTTAATTTATATCTGTTCAATGAAAGTTAACACTAGAGGAATGTCTTGTTGTAGATAAGAACTTTATACAAGTATATAACCACAACCCCAAACAAAATCGAACACATAATTGCCAGGTTTTGTTATATGGGCAATAGCTTTCGACCAATCAGATGAGATTTAGAAGTTCACTTCTGTAACTTCAAACTTCGCCTGTAGCGTCAACAGGGGCTACTGCCGGTCCCAAGACCGGGTAAAGGAGGAGGGTTGGGTATGGGGTTAGCGACCCTATCCCGTAGAAAATCAACTAGCTAAAAAAAGCTAACCAGAAAGTTCTGTAACTTCAGCCATATTGTAACATAGACCTAATTTAGTGTTACTGTTTTACTTCGAATTTGATAGAATCCATTAGATATAGCTTCCTATTTGATCCTGAGTTTATTTGCTTTTGATACCTTGTTTATATACTATTGAGCGATCACTTATCAGAATACAATGCTTATCCAATAACTCTTGCTTTCTGATTGGTGGCTAATTCGGTTGTAAAAAATGTTTAATATCATAAATTGGGTTCAATTATTACAGTAAACTGTCGATTGGATCAAGTCTTAAACTGACATTTTTCAACAAACGTTCGTTCTTACTTTTTAATCTACGAAATCTGCAATTATTTTCATTCAATAGAGCCTTGATTATAATCAGAAGGGGTTTTGTGGAGATTTCAGTATTTTCATAGTTGAAATAATGAGTCATTTGAAGCTAGACCACCATGGAAAACCTGGAAGCACGGGACAGCCGTTTCGTCCTATTATTGGACTTCTCAGCAGTGCGCATCCACCATCCCGACTCGTGAGATCCAAACACAGAGCCTTGATTATTACTTGAGATACTCAATGAGAAATTTTAATATAAATCCATATTCAATCTAATATAAGGTTAAAATAAATACATGATGACTATAAAAGTAGGCAATGAAGTTATTCTTACGAAAATGACAGTCAGGTTGGTCCGTATTTAAGATTGACATCTAAAAAATAACACAAAAGTCATTTTTAACAAAATTATTGAGTTCGTTCTCTTTCCTACTTTGTCTCTCTTATACAAATTAATTTTGTTAACTGTACTACACTACTTATTAGTATTCAGTAAACAGTTTACTTTTTAATATTTTTTGAGCACATGGTGTATTACATGGATATTTGTTATGTAACACATAAGTTATTAACATTTACTTCATTGATAATTGTAATCATATTCTATCAATCTCGTAACAGTTGTTTCCAGCTTTTTTTTGCGTCTCGTGAATCTTTGCTTAAATGTAACAGTTCACATATTTGTGTGCTGTTATTCCCCATTTGGATTGCTGTTAGTCATTATTGACGTTGAACGGAACTACCGGCTGTCATTTGCACTTCCCTGTGTTGTAATTAATATTCATGTTATCATTACAGAAAACCTTTCTCGTTCCAGGTATACAGATTAGTTAACCGCGACAAATAGTTTATGAGTTGAGATTCATAGACGATCCAAATACATTTTGTGATATCGTGAGAACATTTCCCTTGTGTTTTCGTTAAGTAATGACGATACTATATGTTAAGGGTCATCAGGTGAAGGTCAACTTGTTTAAACCTCTATGCAAAGCTTTGTGTTTATCAAATTAACCAATACCACTACGGAATACCAGAAGATACGTATATATTATGAATTAGTTGACGATTTTTCAATATGAATAATTTGAACGTGTATCAAATGGATGCACCTCAAATGAAGACTGGTGTCGAACAAGGTCGATTACTCTACCCCTTTCTCTTCCTTCTGGTGGTCGACTGATTTATGGAATCCCCGAAATCTGAGTAAAAGCATGGAATACAATGAACAGCTTGGAATTAATCAGAAAATTTGGAGTTCGCAGACAACCTAGTCCTTCTATCCCTTACACAGGTGAAGACAACTAGTGTAGCAGCAGCCTGTACATCAGTAGGTCTCAACATACACAAAAAAACAACACAGAGAGCACCAACCTAATCACATTTGATGAAGAAACTCTAGAAGATGCTGATTCTTTCACGTACCTGGGAAGCATCATCAATGTACAAGGATGACCAGATGAAGATGTAAAGGTGGGGATTGGTAAAGCAAAGGCAGTATTCCTACATTTAAAGAACATATGGAACTCAAAACAACTGTCAACTAATTTCAAAGTCAGAATCGTCAATACGAACGTCAAGACAGTTAGTTCTGTAGCACTCAACCAAAACTTGAAAAACTACAATAACCATCATCGGAAAAGTGCAGGTATATACAAATAGTTCTTTACGCAAGTTGATACAGATCTCTTGGGCAAATACCATGAGAAAAAATGTACTGTGGGAGTAAACTAACGCGCTTTCAGCTGAAGAAAGAATTAAAAGAGGATGAAGGTGGATTCGGCCCATTATAGAAACCATCTAAATGAATCACGAGACGAGTCCTGACTTGGAATCCTGAAGACTAAACGAAAAGAGGAAAACCGAAGAACACAATATGTCGGGAATTGGAAGCAGACATAAAAAAAAAGGATAACAACTGGAAATTATTGTCCAGGATAGAGCTCGTCAGAGAATCCTGGTAGACAACTGATGTTCCACGAAGAGTAACAATCATATGTTAATAAGTAATAACTAACGTCAACAGAAATAACTTACCTGAGCATATTCTTCACTTTTTACATTATTAACCTCTACTAATCAAATGACAAATAATAAGTGACTAGTTTTCATGGTACTAAAATGCATACCGTTAATTATAATGAGCATTAAAGTAGATAAGGATAACAGCATTCTATTTATGTAGTCACAAATTAGAATGCAGATTTAACGTGAAACTTTTTATTCTACTTAAATAAACAAACGAATAAAATAAGCTGAAAAGTTGTACATTGAACAAATCTGCGTAGTCTATGATAGTCCCATGTAAGTATTGGTGAACATGTTTATCATTAAAGTTAATAGTATGATCTAATACTTAAGGATTATAGTTGTTTTCAAGTTGGACTTCATCACTTTACTGACCAAAAAAAACATAACACTTCAGGATCAAAGAGTATTTTTCATGATCAGTTTAGTATGAATGTGACTTAGTTTTGACTTATTTCAATTTATTGCGTAAAATGAGTGATAATAACAGCAAAATAGAAAAAATATTTTCTGTCTATAGTAATATACTACTACTACTACTACTACTACTACTACTACTACTACTACTACTACTACTACTACTACTACTACTACTACTACTACTACTACTACTACTACTACTACTACTATCAAAACTTATGACCGAATTTACAGTTTTACTAGACTGTATAATCGGTCTATAGGTTATGTATAGACCGGATAACGACATTATATCACAGATTCATGATCAAATATAGAGAACCACAGTATTTGACAAGCAATACTTTGTTTGATACAATTATAAGCACATTACATTCAATGAGTGCAGAATTACTTACTTCCTTACGCCTGTTACTTCCAATGGAGCATAGGCCAACAACCAGCATTCTCCAACCCACTCTATCCTGGACCTTTCTTTCTAGTACTATCCAGTTTTTTCTCATTCTTCTCATGTCTGTCTCTATTTCTCGGTGTAATGTGTTCTTTGATCTTCCTCTTCTCTTTTGACCTTCAGGATTCCATGTGAGGGCTTGTCTTGTGACACAGTTGTGTGCTTTCCTCAATGTGTGTCCTATCCACTTCCAGCGCTTCTTCTTGATTTCTTCCTCCAGTGGAATCTGGTTTGTTGTCTCCCACAGTAGACTGTTGCTGATAGTGTCTATTCAACGGATCTGAAGTATTTTGCATAGACAACTATTTATAAACACCTCTATAAACACCGACTTTCGTTGTTCTCCAGGTTTCCGCCCCATACAGTCGAGCTGTCTTGACATTTGTATTAAAAATTCTGATCTTGGTGTTGATTGACAATTGTTTTGAGTTCTTGATGTTCTTCAGTTGTAAATATATTGCTTTCGCTTTGCCGATCCGTATCTTCACATCTGCATCTGATCCACCGTGTTCATCAATGATGCTGCCCAAATATGTGAAGGTTTTCACATCCTCCAAAGCTTCTCCATCAAGTGTAATTCAATTGGTGCATGCTGTATTGTATTGGAGAATCTTGCTTTTTCCTTTGTATACATTACGACCTACTGCTGCTGAGGCTGCTGCTACACTGGTTTTCTTCTGCATTTGTTGTTGCATGTGTGATAGGTGTGCAGAATAGGAATCGATAATTAAACAATCAGTAATATGTGTCTGTTAGTTCACTTTCAGTGGTCAATGATATCTTCCATTCCCTAGCCACACATCAATAAAGTGTATGTTGATTATACCCTACCGGTTCTACAAATTTATCTGCATTTTTGTATTTATCTACTTTATCTAACAACCTTTATTTTCTGACTTATTGTAATCCTCCCTTACTGAGTGTAATTAATTTGTCCAACTATGATATACGAATAAATAACAACATTCTAGACCTTACATTTGCTTCCTTAAATGACTTTATGAAATTGATTACTTAAACCACTTCTAAATGACCTGTGCATTCATGAGACTTAATCATGAACATTCAGTTATTTGTACCTTTACTGTGACACTTTCGTGACAAGCGTTCATGCTTACTAAATTACTTATTATGCACGAGGATTCGACGGCAACCCTAGATAACGGCTTGTCTGTTGACGTGATATTCATAGATTTTAGCAAAGCATTTGACAAGGTTTCACATTTAGGTCTTGTGCAGAAGCTCTCGAGCTTTGGAATAACAGGTGCTTTAGAGGAATGGATAAGAAATTCTTATGTGACCGCAGATAGAGAGTGATGGTCAATGGAACGCTATCCGAATGGAAGCCGGTCAAAAGTGGTGTACCCCAAAGGCACCATCTTAGGCCCTCTACTTTTTCTTCTGTATATTAATGAATTACCTCTGTTGCTAAAGTCGTCCACATTATTGTTGGCGGATGATGTCAAAATCTGGAGAACAATAAGAAGTGAGGCTGATAGTTGTCATCTCCATGTTGACTTAGACGAATTAGTTAGATTCTTGTTGGTTCTCCACCTAATACCGTAAAACCTTTTATAAAGTCTTTATTTTATTAAAACTATCTTTGTTCATTTGTTGTAATCGACACTTTTTTTCAAGTATTAGTTATTTTCAAAATATCAGTATAGGGTTATGGATATTGTTGAGTTGTGATCGAGATCAAGAATCGATCAATGTTAGACTGTCATTGAAAACTTGGAAGAACTGGAAGACCGTCTGGTCCTAGTATGAAACTCCTCATCAGTGCGCACTCACGTCACCTCACCTAAGGGATTCGAATCTAGGACCTTCGGTTCCTCAAAATAGATTAGTTCCTCATATTCATTGAGTGAACCTCAAACTGTAAAAATATAATCAATTTATAAGATTTAATGGCTCGTTTCGGACAAGTTAGTGGCCAATTTCAATGAAATTATGGAGTTTTAGATGTTTAATAAAGCTTTATCGAACTCAAGCAGGTTAGGTTGTTGGCTCGAATATCTATAGCATCTGATATATGCAGGGAATGAAACCTATAGTATCACGGACTATTTGATTTTTTAAATTTCAATCGAATGATGATTATCTTGTTTCTTGTAATTAAACCTACATGTGAATGTCTTCTAGAGTTACTGTCAGTCTAAAGCAAAGATAAAAGATGAGAGTTTGGCATAGGGATAACAAGCGAAAAGAATCTTGATTTTCTTAATCTAAATATGGACAACTTGGATCACTTGTCGAAATGTAAACATACTATAAGATATTTCTCAATAAGGCCTTCAATTTAATTAGTAATATACTATGACAAAATATACCCCATAAATAACTCAAAGCCAAGATATTGGTAACTGTAGTTTGATTAGTATTGAAAGTGATATTATTTGTAATAACTAAACTACTGAAATAGCTTAGAAAAACCTAAACTAATGTAATCTATTAAACATGTACAATTGTATAGATACTCTACTTTGAGTCATACTTGAGTATGGGTTATTGATATAATTCAACTACTGAAATTGGAGGAGATGAAATCTTACCCAAACTTTTGACCAATACATTAGAAACTATGTGCTTTAATCAATAATTATCACCTTACTGTAACTGAGCTAAAATTGTTAGATAGACAAGATCAGTATCTGAAATACATGCATACATGTGTACATGAACAATGAATTCAAATTGTTAACTGTTCATTTTACTACTTTGAAGATAACCCTCTAAGTAAAGTGATTAGAAACTGTTTGTCTAAATCTTCTTTATCCATCAAATTGCATAATAAATTTTATAATCGTTAAAACTTGTGAACAATATACTGATCTTAATTTCATGCAAATCTACTTTTTGTGTAGATTATTCATTTACTACTTAAATCATTTAACAATACTGAATTATTGGTTTCTTTATTATTTCCTGTTTCATAAGTTTGAATAAATTGATCTAGCGTTTAAAAATTCCTCCCATATCTAATAGTAGTGTGGTGTGGGTTACTTAATATCCACACAAGTAGTATATGGTCATGGTCAGGCATAGAATGTATTTTGGCAGAAGATCGATAAAGAAAGAACGGAAACGAAACGTAATCGGTAAGAAAATGCATGAACAATGAAATTAGAGAAGACGGACCGATATTTTTACAGAAGGAACAGTTAAGATTGAGACAATTGGTTGTTATTTTGCAAATTAACTGTTTGCTGTATGATTATCAGATTGTATCATCTTGTAGGTTATTATTAGAATGCGGGTTTTCGGAAATTGTAGTAATCTTAATAGTTGAATTTATGAGTCTATGTAAACTAGATCACTATTGAAAACCTAGGAGCACTCGACTGCCGTTTCGTTCTAGTATGCGACTACTCAGCAGTACATATCTAGATTCCTACACATAGGACTCGAACCTGGGAACTTCGGTCTCGCTGGCTAACTGAGCCGGGATCCACTATTGTTAGTGCCTAACTTTAATCGATCCATGATCTTGCACAATCATTCATCCAGTGTTTCCAGATTTCTAACGGTGGTTTAACATAAATCGACTCATGGATTCAACTATTTTATGAGTATGATTGCCAATATTGAACTTGATAGTCTCAAATAAATTGAAAATTAAATAGAGAGTTAATAATAAATATATTTTTTATTATATCTCAATGAGTAGAAAAATTGTATTTCTAACGTTTCGTAACCTAATATAAGGCACTTCTTCAGAGTTAATCTACTGAACGAATCAAAAATAAACAAAATTATTTTCAATTCATATTATATTTTACTGTATTATTTATTAAAGAACTGACAGTTTCATAATCCATCATGCGAATCTGAAACAATAAAGTAAAACAGTTAATGTTAAATATTGAATTATTATGAAAATAAATAAAAAAAATCGTAAAAATTTCTTTTATAGTTGAAATCATGTGTTAATTGAAGCGAGACCACTCTGAAATATCTGGAAGTACTGGATGGCCGCCTCGTTCCAGCATGGAACTCCTCAGCAGTGTGCATCCACGATCCCGTCGCGCGAGATTCGAACCCAAGACTTATCAGTCTCGCGTGCGAGCGCTTAACCTCTAGACCACTAAGCCGGCATCCGACGGTGTAGATTTCTAACTTCAACCAAACCACGAAATTGAGCAACCGTCCACCATTATCTTCAGTGAGTTAAGCGCTCGCTCGCGAGACTGATAAGTCCTAGGTTCAAATCTCGCGAGCCGGGATCGTTGACGAGCACTGATAAGGAGTCGCACAATAAGACGATACTGCCGTCCAGTGCTTCCAGGTTTTTCATGGTGGTCTAGCTTCAATTGACTCATGATTTCAACTATAAAATTACTAAAGTCTCCACAAAATCCCCCCTTCTGATAAAACTTTCTTTCGTATTCAAATTTGAAAGTATACATTATCATTATTTACTTCTATCAATAGTAATGTAAACTTACTTAAATACTAATTTCAAGTAGAAATGTCATTATTGATTCTATAGTTTCGAAACACTGAAAGAACAATCACATGAGATATTAAGTTAGATAGAAATGTAAATATTAAATTTGAGAAAAAAGTATATAATGGAGATGTTGTGTCCGGTGGAGACATATGAATGATAACTTCCAGAAGTATTTATGGACAAATATGACAAGTATATTTCCTATGGTATAGTTTTTAAGTACTTAAACCATTCATATTCGTGTCCTTCTTATTATAAGCTTTATTTTGACCCTTAGACTATTAATGTACGATTTACCATTCTTGAGTTACCTCCAGTCTATTGATTACTGTCCCCCCTATTCATAGCCACTTTTGGCCTAATCTTGTACAAATGTTATTTTCTATTTTATAGTACGATGTGGTCAGTTTGTTTGGTATATAAACCCAATATGTTTGAGAATAATGATTGATATTGCGGAAGTTGTTATTGATGTTATGGAATTAACTGGCTGGTCTAGGCAGAAAGCAGGACTGATAAGTGCTCAAGACTGCTCATAACGCTTTTGTGTATCATTGGGCAATCGATAGATCCGCTCTTCTATCATTGGCGGGAATCAGCACGTCCATATATTTTAAGAGGGCACTCAATCAATCGATATAACAACTGGGCACGCACATACGCTACTCACACGTTACAACAGGAGAGTTAGTTTATATTAGAGAGTTGATAAACGATCAAGTGTTTGCATTATTTGATATTATAGCTTCATTTATATCAGTTGAAATGATATTTCGATGTGTGCTACTGATGTTCATAGATATAAGTAGTATGTATCATCAATCGAAAGTGAAATGCTTGATCGTAGAAGGTTCAGGAGATCAAAGAAAAGAGAACGAGAACAAAGAATGATTGGTGTGGAATCGAAAGATCAAAAAAGTCTAAGACGATTGATTAACATTTCGCAGATGGAACAGTTAAGTTTGAGACAATTGACTAATAGTTTGCAAATGTAGTGTTTATTGTATGATTCTCAGATTTTACTAAGATGCAGTGTAATTTTCAATTGTTCGCACTCGTTCACTGCAACACTACTGACCTATTGTTCGTCATTATGAAAACTATCTCGAAATATGTTAATTCAAATCATTAAAAGATGTGGATACTTACTTTGTGTTTATCAGCTGCATGATGTGTACATAAATTCTTTATGATCGTCTCCTTATATTCTGGTGAGTTGGCTAAAGATAAGCCATAGTTTATGTGGTCATTAATACCTAAATCGAAGAAAATATATAATAAACAATAATTTTTTGCAAATCGACAGAAATCTTGCCCTAAAAGTCATCAAAAGATTGAAGTTGAAGCGTTACAAAGTAAATTTGAAACTGTACAATCCAACTTTACTGAAACTGCTGAGGAGTCGCATTCTACGGTCATCCAGTGAAGTGGACGTTACTCATAATATTGTAAATAATATGTAACGGAACGTGACGTCAAATTTATTATAATTGTCGGATGAAGTGAAGAGTTTTGGTGCATCGAAAGCACGACTTTGCCAGAACACTTGGATACCAGATGAAAAGACAGTTCACATAGCAGAACATACCGTAAGATGCTCCATTGGGGGTAACAGGTGTAAGTAAGTAAGTAAGTAACTTCTTATATTGAACATATTCATTCATCCTATTGTCATCTTTTTGCACCAATATTCAAGGTTTTCATTGATGACCTAACACTAATCGGTTCACGATTACAATAAAAGCTTCTAGTAGCCCGGGATCTGAATCCCGGTAGATTCTTCGATGCTTGCCATCGAAATATACATGTCGCTGATCGTCTCATATGATCATCGATTTAAATCGCGTTGGTGAACAACAGAATTAAATAAGTCAAATACGAGAATGAAGTTTCAAATACGTATATTTCGTACAATCATTGACCTGAAAAGACAATCAGGGAATCGAAAAGAAGCAAACGAATAGGAGAGAGAGAAGCGACTCTAAGTGACATGCAACGAAGAAGGCTTGTAAGCCAACTCGATATTTATAATCAGACAGAAATAAGTTAGTGACATATGATGAAAAGGATAAGAAATGCACACACAAGCCTACATAAAAACAGTCAAGCTTAATAAGCAAATAAGTGACAGGGTAAAAATGTGATTAGAGAAGAAAATGAATAGATTAATCTGTTCAGAGGTTAGAGTGATCTATGTGAGCTTGACATAGTACGAGTCCCTACAAGCTCAACAATCTCCACGACCTTATACTAATCAGTGTATAATATTAGATTTAAGTTAGTCAACTTCACAATTGTACAATCTTGCGTGTAGAGCATGCCAATATTGAGCAGTTGAAATGGTAAATGTTCCGTTGACTAACTTCATTAAGATATTATAAGCAATTCATCGAGAGAATATATATATTTAAGAAATTTTGCACTTACATGATGTAATTTCAGAATTCGATAACATTGTGTGTTTATGGTGACAGAATCCTAGTTCCTAATATATAAAAAAAATGAATTATAAGTTTTTCAAATAATATTAACCGATTTAAAACATGAATCATATTTATAAACAAAGATGGTTAATGGCTAGCATTGAAATCCAGGATGCGCGTTTTGTTCTATTTGAGACTTATTAGCTGGATGTACCTGAATCCCAGAGTTGATCTTCAACTGGGACTCGATTAACAACAATGGGAAGATACAAGAAAACTATATCAAGTAAATGTAAACTTCACTAATCTCACAACTAAGTGATAATCAGAACATAGTAGCTAAGTGGATAATACAATGTTGTCTAAAGTGAACGGTACTAGGTTCGAATTTCGGAGTGAATACCAATTTTGGGATGCAGGTACATACGGTTGACACGTCCTAAAGAGGATGAAACGCGTATCTTGGATTCCACTATTAGTTACCATCCATTTTTGCTTATAAAATAAAATAACTTAGTATTGTTTGTTTGAATCTTCTCATTGTTATTTAGGATTGCAACTGGTCAGTTTCTTATTGGCATATGTGCATACTGTGCGTATTGCTTCAATATAGCTTTAATTCACAAGCATTATAAGCCAAGATGGATAGTGGCTGGCTGTGAAATCCAGTTTGACGCGCCTTTCGTTGTCATATAAATATATAATATAGTCATAAATAGTTTACTTACAGAACATTTCAAAGTTACATTCATATGATGAGCGAATTCATAAATTTTCCTCGGTAAATAATGTGTAATATCTAGACACTGTTAAAAATGGACAATATACATATTTAAATATTATAGTACTTATAAATAGTATTAAGGAAGAACAAAACAATAGAACAGCACACATCATCTTAAAGTCTACGACTCTGTATTTCATTCCATTTTATGACTAATAATCTTATTTATTAGTTCATAGGGTTTAATCCTACTTCATTTCATTCAGTTTTGTACTTTTGGGTATTATAACTAACTCTTATTTATAGAGTGTGGCCCTGTTGTATCTCATGGAGAATTATGAATGGTAACTTTGAGGACTATTTGTGGGGTCTAGTGGTTAAGCGCTCGAGTGCAAGACTGATAGGTCCTGGGTTCGAATCTCGCGTAACGGGATCGTAGATGCACACTGCTGAAGAGTATCACAATAGGACGAATCATCCCTGCAGTTCTTCCAGGTTTTCAATGGTGGTCTAGCTTCAATCGACTCATGATCTCAACTATATAAAATTACTAAAATCTCCACAAAACCCCCTTCTAATAAACACTATATATTCTTATATTTTCAACAAAACCTCTCAAAACTTTAGATTTGGAAAATGTTTATATAATCAACGAATTTGATCATCATTCATCAGTTTCCAATCAGGATTCTTTCTTAATGTACCTCGTTTAAACATGAAATGTTACCTTATTATATTATACTGTAAAGAGTACTGCTTAGAAGTAATTTTTTAAAACGTCTTAATTAAAGATAAAAGTGTAAGTGTTTCACGGAAAAAGCAATAGTAATAACATGAGTATGTTACCTTATTTCTCCAATGCCTTTCAGGAATTAATTTACACATCTGGGATAATACTGTTGATGTTAATGGGATGAATGGTTCATCTTCAAGGAATATTTTTATCAGTCTTCCTATACGTCTACAAAGTCCGCATACTGACAAAAAACGATTATGATTATTCGGTTAATAGAAGAAGAAGAATCCTCATAAAATAAATACAGTTTATAGATGATATTCATCATGATTTGATGTTATTAAAGGTACTAGGAAACACTGGACAGGTGTTATGTTCTAATATGTAACTCATCAGTAATGAATACTCATGACTTCATTGAGAATCAAATCTAGGATTTTGGAGTGTAGCTATGTGAGCTTAAATTTTAGACTAGCTTACTAAATGTTCCCTAATACAGTGGGACAGACATTTAAGTATAGGCATATATTTGAAAGTGTACTGAGAATCAAGAAACAGATAACCACAGTTTGATAATCTTTCAGAACTCTGAAATACCATGCAACATGACTCATATTTAAAATATAATCCATAATGTTTATTATCTTGAACTAAATACAGAAGGCTGGATTACAGACTTGATCTTCAGAAACAAGCATTTTCCTAAATCAATCAAAACATTAGTTAATGTAACTGCTGTACAGTTTTGTTTCTGTAGAGGTTTCAATAGAGTCTTCATGTATGATTCAAAAACAGGAAATTATCATTCCTTTAAAGATAACTCTCTTTTGTCTAATTTTCTGTATATATAAGAGAATATGAGATCTCTAGGCTATAAACACTGTAGTGTCGGTTGATACTTTTTAAGCCCATATACCTTATTCTAGCTTCTGAACAGATCAGTTTATCCATTCTTCTTCAGTCACTATTTGATCTTGTTAATTATTCACTTATCAACTATGACTGTTTTTTATATGAGCGTGTTTGTGAATTTCTTAACCCGTTCATCATATTTATGTAACTTATTTTTGTCTGACTAATAATATCGATTCACGCTTGATTAAATAGAGTTATCTCACACGTCTTCTCCAATACACGTCATTTCGCTTGGTAATCTTCTGTTCGATTCATCCCTCTTGTATTTGACTTATTTAATTTCGTTATTTACCAACTCAATTTAGGTCGATAACTATATATGCGGGTTGGCAATATGTATATCTCGTTGACAATCAGTATACAGTCCATTGGAGTCAGATATAGAGCCACTATAACGCCAATGATTACTAACAAGTAATATTCTGAAGTTTAGAGCATATTGTTGCCCACTATCAGTTAACACTAAACATCAGATACATTTCAGTCCTATGAAGAAAAGGGATTATTTTAATGGTAAGTTTATAATTTTTTTAGTTAACTGCACTTATTGGTGACTGAAGATTATTTCAGGGTTATATTGATTATCATTCAAAATATGACCCTACTGTAGATACGTATCAAAATGTATGAAGTAGAATGTTTAATGGAAAGAATTATCTACTTTTCCTTTCATAAATGTTACAGGGAAACGGGTTCGTGTTTCAATGCGTTTCATATCAACAAGATTTGAGTAAAAAAACACAATTTGAATTAGTTTCTAAGATAGAAAAAATAAGTCAAGTCTTACAGAGATGACATTGTGGTCTTTCTAATTGTTCAGAGTATATCTAAAGAAAAGTATAAAATGGAAAAAAAGATTGTTTTTAAATGAGATAAACAATATTGATTAAAAGTAATGTCACATAATTTGAATAGTTAAGTAGATATTATCACCGTAATAATGTCATCTTAGTTGTACTTTTTCTCTATGACTAACATTTATATTACATAGAAGTGTGGTGTGGGTTACTGATATCCACATAAGTAGTAAATGGTGATGGTCAGGCATTGAATGTATTTCAGTAGAAGATCGATAAGGAGAGAACGGGAACGGTACGCTATTGGTACGAAAATGAATGAACAATTATAATCGGATACTATGGACTGATATTTGCAGAAAGAACAGTCAAATTGAGACAACTGATTGATAGTTTGCAAATTAACTTTTCGCTATATGGTTCACATATTTTAATGACATATTCTGTAATTTTGTGCCTATATACATTCAATTGTCCTCAACTAGTATTTCTGTTCACTACATAAGTATTATTTAACAGACTTCTACTTGACGTTTGTGATGATGATGTCGTTCAAAAGAACGACGAAAGCTACATGATCAAATCTTTCAGCTCAGGGAACAAAAATCTACCGGAATCATCCACCTAAGCTACAAATCTTCTCGACGATCTGAAAATCTTAATGAAAAGTGGATGGTGTAATTTCCCTACCAAACCAGTCTAAAAATATATAACGATACAAAAATATTCAGAAGTGATACTGAAGCAGATTTTTATGGCAAGCAGACATCAACTGATGATAAGGTTAGATAACTTATTATTCCCTAATTCATACACATAAAATCCAACATCAACTGGTAACTGGGAAATTTCGATTTATGGTTGAACTCGATACCGTCTAGTTAAGTTATCATGCTGTTACAAACTCAGCTTTACGACGCTGATTATAGAAAAGTTACAATTTAATTTCAGACTAGCATTCAAAGTAGTGTAGTGTACAGTGTTATAAGTAGTTGTGTGGACCACTGACTAAACAATAAGTAAATCTTTAAATACATTCTAAAACCTTGTTACTTGATTTATTGACTTCTAGTAACTTAAAACATCATATCATTTAAAGAATAACACATTATTAGTGTGAGGTGTTGTGGAGATTATAGTAATTTAATACTTGAATTCATGAGTTGATTAAAGATAGGCCACCATGGAAAATCTGAAATCATCGGATGGACGTTTTGTCCTCAGCAGTACACATCCATGATCCCATGTTTGTGCGCGAGACCGAAGATCCTGAATTGTGAACCCAGGTATCAGGGTCATGGATACATACTGCTAAGAAGTCCTATAATAGTACGAAACAATCGTCCAGTACTTCCAAGTTTTCCATAGTGGTCTAGCTTCAATCAATTCATGAATTCAACTATTAGAAACATTGACATTCAAATAGAGAGGTATATATAGTAATATATCAACCTAATGTATTTCAATAAGAAATCCTTACATTAAACACTTAATTTAAAACAAATAAAACTGTTTGTTTATACTTACCATCTCTTCATTTCCAACAGTCACTTCACTTACACCTACAGTCAAAAATAAAAAAAAAATGAAAACGAAATAATAAACAATAAGATACAGCTATTGAAATATAAAGTAGATCCTATGTTTCGTCCAGCTAATTTATCTGGACTTCTTCAGAATAATAACCAAAATCTATACTACATGAAATCAATGATATTTGGTTAATAACCTTGAAGAAGTTTAGACAAGTTAGATGGATGAAATGTTGAAATTAGATTATTTCACATATAATGATTTCTTTATACTTGACACCTAATTTTTGTCAATTTATTCGTTCTAATCTTGATGGATATGCGTATAAAATGAGATACAACATTATTACCATCATTACAATTATTATTATTATTATTAATATTACCATTATTATTATTTACCCAATATAACAATTAAAATGAAAAATTGTTTCAATATCATTTTCATTTTTCGTTCGTTCGTTCGTTCGTTCGTTTGTTTGTTTATACAAAATAATCAAAATTTCCGCTTTGTATTTTTATACTTTTTTTTGTTTTGAATCTTTACATCATTAAAATGTTCAATGTTCAAATTTTTTTATTTTTTTTTTTAAAAAAACTTTTGTTTAAATAAAGAATAAAGTTTATTTTGGAATAAGCCGTTAAAGACGTGTATTAATTAATTTTTTTTATTTTTTTGTTTTTATGATTTAGTTACCAAGTGTTATGTAATCATAAGTTTCTATGACGTATACAAAGAGGGTGGATAGGTGGATACAATCATTTAGCATTAATTGTTATATTATCTTGATATTATGTTTATAATTAATTTTCTTCTATTTACGTAAATATTTTTTGTTTTTACGGGTTGATATTTGTTATTTTATAATCATCATCATCATCCTCATACAAAAGTTACCTAATTCAATGAACTTTATGATAAAGTTCGATTTACTTAAGCCTGTAAAACTAAAATTTCAAAAGTCACTATAATAAGACATTTGTTTATCTGTTCATAACAATTCGGTGATTTAATGTTCAACTTTGTAGGATTCCAAAATTTTCTGATAAAAATCACACATTTTAGCGTACGCTATAGTTTTCTAAATTAGATCTTTTTAAAAAATTAATATCAGAAGGGATTTTGTGGATATTATAGTAATTTCAATAGTTGAAATCTTGAATCAATTGAGTCTAGACCATCATGAAAAACCTGGAAGCACTGGACGGTCGTTTCGTCCTGTTGTGGGACTCCTCAGAAGAGCGAATCCATGACTGATAGGTCTTGGGTTTGAATCTCGCGAAAGCGGGATCGTTGATGCGCACTGCTGAGGAGTCCCACAATAGGACGAAACTATTGTTGGTTTTTCATGGTTGTTTAGCTTCAATTGACTTGTGATTTCAACTATTGAAATTACTATAATATCCACAAAACTCCTTCTGATATTAATCGTATGCTCATTAGTGACTGGCTTCAAGAGGTATTTCCTGGAGTTCTAGTAAGAAGCAGTAGCCAGTGGGATTCAGCCAGGTCTGTTTTGAGATAGTAACTCACTGAAGACAGTAGTGGTTGTATCGTTGAATTTCGTGAACCGGTTGAAGTTTGATATTAACACTGTTGGATGCCGGCTCAGTGGTCTAGAGGTTAAGCGCTCGCGCGGAGGAGTGATAGCTCCTGAGTTCGAATCGTGGATGCGCACTGCTTAGGAGTCCCATAATTGGACGAAACGGCCGTCTAGTACCTTCAGGTTTTCCATAGTGGTCTAGCTTCAATTGACTCATGATTTCAACTATTGCAATTTTTAAAGATTACTTGATAAAATCATGTGAGAATAAACACGTCCTTTATGCAAGGATATTGAATCGCTGACTTGTATAATGAATTTTAAACCTATATTCAAATATATTAGGTGGCTGAAATAGTCGGGATGAAATACTAATTGATAGGTTTTGTACTGATTGATACTCAAAAGAAGGATGTATCTATCATCTTGAGATGAGAGAGGTTAGTTCATGAGATTTGAGCCTAATTCAAGATTACAGATATGCATTTATGAAGGGTTCCAACTTACATGAAATCGAGGTCGAGAAGGAGTAAATAACTACTAAAAATCTGAAAGCATTGAACAACCGTCTTGTCCTTGAATGGGACTATTCAACGGTACTCATACACAAGATTACATTTTGCAGCTGAGCCAAGGACCTCTAATCTCACGTTCAAATGGTTATTAACCTATAAGCCAGGTTTTCGAAAGTTATCCAGTAACCTTAACAATCCTCATAATGATAATTTAAGTCTTATCAGATTTTATGCGCTAGGCATCGCCCAATATATTACAGCATATAATTTTATGAATTACTAGGTATGGTAGATTGTTCTAGACAATTAAAATAGATTGTAGAACTAAAGTTTATCTATACTACTTAAAATACTACTTTCACTCACGTTATTCATACAGTATGAGCATATCTTTTAACTGTAATGTTATCATATACGTTAATTAATATCTTCATTTCACAGTCATTAATCTATGACGACCGATAAAAAGTCTTGCTTAATAGCCTGCAATTGGAAAATGATATTCAATGACTCTTTTTTTAAAATGTTTCTTCAACAAGCTGAAGGCTTGAAAGATCTGTGTGAAATAATTTTGTCATTAAACTAATCGGTTAAGGGCTTCGGCTCGAAACTGGTAGGTCCTGGGTTCGAATCCCGCGAGAGTGGGTTCGTGAATGCGCACTGCTGAGGAGTCCCATAGTAGGACGAAACGGCCATACAGTGCTTCCAGGTTTTCCATGGTGGTCTAGCTTCAATTGACTCATGATTTCAACTTTGAAAAATTAAACTAATCATTTATTACAATTAAATGTTTTATAATAGAATATGAGTTACTAATAAGTAGTACATTGAGGGAACATTAATATTAATCATTTATTTGCTTGACTTATATTGTTGCTTGAATTCAATTAATGAGGATTAGATTTGATAGAGAAATTGATTCAGTTGTTACGAACAATTCACACATAGAATGTAAGTTAGTCGTAACCTACAAGGAGAGCTTAAAATAGACAAAAAATACAGAGCTAGATAACATTCAGCAATAATTGAACTCATTTAAATGGTCTTATTTAATTACAATTAAATAGCTGTTAACTGACATCCTTCCTCTGAAGTAGTTTTTTTTTTAATACCAAGATTAATGACTTGAATTATTGTGATTAATGAAAATGCAGTTTGTCCTCTCATAGTTATGACTTATTCAAAAAGAACTGACCTTAATATACGTTATCATCCTATGTAGAATTATTAGTGTAAATTTATTAATATTATTCAGCACTACAGTCTAAATGTGTCAGTTAACTGTAGCAACTTGTTCGCTTGTAGTAACTAGGCTAACTTTTTAATTCTTCATTTAGAAATAACTTTGAATAATGTAACAGTAAGTTACCAGTGATAAAGAACCAAAAAAAAAACTTATACAATTGAACAAAAGCTCTACAATGGAAGTTATAATTGTCTGAACAGTAACATGACAACGGAAACTGGGAAATTTGAAACTCATCAAATGTAATTACCGAGTGAAACACAATCGGTAAGTCTTTACTTTCTTAAATGGCTTGAAACACTAATTTGTGACTTCTTTTAACCCCCATCGATAATGTTAAGCAGATAAGCTCATTGTAATAGGCAATGAGTAGGAATGTGTTGCATAAGTTAATAAAGGTACATAGTTTCACTAATCTATTTGAATTTTCAAAGTTGAATTCACGATTCGATCCAACATTGAAAACCAGGAAGCACTGAACGACTGTTTCGTTTTAGTATTGGACTCCTAAGCAGTGAATATCCACGGTCTCGCACGTGAGGCTTGAACCTGAGACGTAACTATTTGTAATAATTAACTGATTACGAAAACCGTTATATCCCGAAGACAATTATGAGTGGTAAGTTTTGTGGACTATTTATGCACCACTACGATATGTATATTTCCTATTGTATAGTTGTTAAGTAACTAAACTATTCACATTCGTGTGCCAATTATTATAAGCTTTATTTTGATCCATTGACTATTACTATACGATTTATCATTCCTGAGTTATACTGCGTCCATTAATTACTGTTCCCCTTATTCAAAGCCACATTTGGCTAGATCTTGTACAAATGTTGTTCCCTATTTTATGGTACGATGTGATCTGTCTGTTTGTTATATAAACCCAGTATGTTTGAAATAAATTATTCACATTGCAGAGGCTGTAATTGGTGTTCTGGACTTAACTGGCTGGGCTAGGCAGAAAGCAGGACCGAAAAGTACTCTAGACTGCTCATGTGGATTTTGTGTGTCATTGGTCCGATCAATAAATTCACTGCTCTCCAATTGGTGGGGATCGTCACGTCATGTATAAAAAGTGCACTCGGCTACATGATCTAACAAAAATTCACCCTAGTTTCAATTATAATATTTCAAATGTTGTATAACTAACTGATTGATAACACCTAATTAGTAACAACATTCTATCCATTTGTAAAACCCATCATATATAAATTAACAATGTTACATAACATAATTCACCGTTTCTACATTATATGATACTGTTACCAATTAAACTATATTTAGTGTATTTAAATAATTTATTATCCAACTTCAGTGCTTGAAGTCACTAACTTCTACTTTGAGCCATGTTAGTAGATGCAGACTACTTGGTTAAGGTCTGCGCGACTATCGTAATCAGTGGTTGTCAACTCTGTGTGACTTGGCTCAGAATCGATCACAATGGCGTTGGTGTATACACTCTCTGTCTTCCCTTAAACTATGAGATTAAAATTGCTACATATCTATCTTTCTTCCTGTACTATATCCTTATATACAATCTTTCTTATATATATTACTACCATTGAAGTAACTAATTCTATGAATTTGGTGTTCATCTTGTTGTGCTAATAAGATGTAGTAACTTGGACCGATGCATTATAGGACCAGTGAAATATCACTGAACCCTAGCCAAATCATGCGGCAGTTGGGTCACTAAATATCGAACAGATCATCGATCCCCGTCAAGGTCAAGGACAATCAATGCGTATCAGTTAATCATACGCCATGGACTGGTCCATACGGCAGTGGTTTTACTTTCGCTTGTATCTACTTAAACTAATATATTCCTGTAATAACGTCCTTTGTGTTGTACAGTCTTCAGAGCATCCATGGTTCCTTGATGCGTCGATGGGACAATCCACGTAAGGTGCTGATCGCGAGGTGTGACTTCGAGGTTAGCTCGTTCGTTACACCGTTACCGTCTAACTCGAATAGGTCTCCAATTATTCGACATAGATCATTAACGTTGATGGTCAACAGCATATTTGCGCCTGGTCCTAAGTTGTAGCTGACTGACTGACAACTTTAA